AATGCACTATTGTCTCAAAAGCATATTTACCATTTTGTTTATATAGCTTGCCATTTGCGTCGATTACTCAGACGGCATTCGGTACACTTCACGTAATAATTTGCGACTCGAAAGCGCACCTCACCTTCTAACTTTCTATTGTCGAAGCAGTTGCGCTCCAGCTTGAGATCATTAATATGTCGCAGTAAAAAATTTCATAAATTGACATAGACAAATTGCGCGTTATGAAACAAGAGTTGCTGGGAATATGTGGCGGACTCGAGATATACTGCCAACCATACTCATCAAGCGAGTTCATTCCTAGCGTTTCACTTTCAGAACATCTTGTATTGCTATACGTTTTTCAATGTCGTATAACAGCTGAATACATCAAGATCACAGTATGGTTTGCAATACATCTCATTGCTTTGCACGCAATAGGAAATTTTTATTTTGAAGCGGCAACAGCATCCATTTTCGCTCACATTCAGTTTGGTTTAACAAACGTAAGAATTACACCATAAAGACATTTTCATTTATAACATGTGTCTGCATAAAATCCGTACCTCACGCACACAGCGGAAAACGTTAAACTGCATACGTATGTGCAGGGGTATTCGTTAAACAACAAAATATAAAATGTCGTGATTGATAATAAAGCGAGTGAGTCATAATAGTTAGCCTAAAAATGTAATAATTAGTATTAAATGCATCTAAGAGACTGTATGAATCAATTTCATGGGTTTTACAAGCTTCTAATACAACAGAAAACATACGGACAATGTTTTATAGTACTGGAGTGATACGTTCATGTTTTTTGTACACTTAATGGCAGGCAAAGTCTACGGATGACTTAGATAACTTTAAGCATATACCATGTTCAATCCCACACAATCTATTCTACTTGGCACACTATTTCGACTCAATTCCATCCGGGTCGCAACAAACTAAATTAGTATTTTCCAAACAATTCGAATACTCACCTGTATAGAACTGTTTAGTTTATAATCATTGTGATAACAACCCTGATAACTATACCTACTTATTTGAGCAGTTCAAGCATTTTTTTACTTGACAGTATCAAACTTCTACAGACTCCTAACGAATTATGTATTTCGAAGGTAAATCCGAACTTATTACAAAAATGTAGCTTTAACTAACAATACTTGTCTAACCGCACGCATAAGGCTCATCTGTTGCAGCTCATTATGAATATTGCGCCTTGTACACATCAAAGCCCCACAAAAAGAGTGCGCGATACCCTCAATATATGAGCCACCAGCAACATATGTCAATTTGTTAATAACCTATAATACATGCCACATAATCCCTGTCCAATTCCTGTGAGTGCCACTACAATTAATTAAACTGGACCCATAATAACTTGTACTGCCTGTTCTAGATTCCATCCGGTTGTTTCCAAGACTGCTTTCGTCTCTGCAAATGGTATTTTAGCTACAGGCGTTTCTCCACGTGACAGCAGCCATCGAAGGCGCGCCAGTTTTATTGCTTTGTGTACATTCCACCCTGCCACGTTTAACGCATCGAGACAATCTTCCGCAGGCAGGTTTTCGTTGGCTAGCACCTTCTGCATAATGTGTACTTCGTCTGAGTCTGCACCGCGTTCTCGCCCTTGAGTGCGTTTGGCAGCAGCGCGAGGTGCACTAAAATCAAGAAGATCTTCACAACTAACGTGACGGTCGAGTTTTTTCTTAGGTTTAGCGCCCAACTCACTATATTCTACAGCAAAATCAACAGCATCTGTAGAAATTTCCACATCAGGCACCGATGACCTGCCAGTCGGGAGTGCGCAGCAGGTTGCTTGCAGCGTTCTCATTAGTGATTCGTGTCCCAATGAATGAGCTTCTGGCTTACAAGGAAGACTCTCTGATGACCTGAAGCATTTAAGAGTCCTTGGTAAAGATTCACTACTTCTTGAAGGCATGTTCGCCAGATTTGTCGGCCCCAAGAATTCGGGTGTAGGACGTAACCTGGGCAAAGTCTGTGACATGCTCCTGGACTCAAGATGCTTTGACTCTGATGACCTTGAAAGAGTGTCATTATTGTTGGCGTCTTGAAGCTCATAGCCGGGTAATATTAAGGGATGAATTCGTCTGTGGTGTCGCAGGGTGGCGGGATTGGCAACGGCAACTTTTGGCTTCGGCGGCAAAGGAGGAGGAATATCTTCCGTAAATCCACTAGGTGTTAGTGTTGAGAAACCTGATCCAGAAACCCAATCCATTGGTGGACTTTCCTCAAGACTGCAGCCGATTTCACCCTTCTCAACAAGAGCAGAGTATACGTCATTGACTTCCCTGGGCAAAGCCTCCTGAAGCGGTTTACTGTTGTCGAGCATTTCAGAAAAGTGCTTCTTGTCCTGTTGGGATGATTTCGTATTGAAAATAAAGAAGCGGGGGCCATTATGTTTTCTGGTAGGAGTGGCCAAAGGACTATTTTGTTGAGCTTGTTGAAGTGTACGGCTCGCCATCTCCTTCGCCATGTGGATAGCAGTATCCAAGGCTTGCTCATCTGTCGGTGAGATAGGCTTAACAATGTGACCCGGACTTCGGCTTTTTATTAATGGTCGAGTATCCATGACAGTTGAGGCCGATGAAGTACTGCCTTCCTTGGCTTGCCAGCCACTGCCTGCAACACGTACCCCTAGTGTTCCTGATTCCGTTTCCTCTAGGCCACGGAACACCTAAAATAACAACTCGAGTGCATGAAACATATAGTACCTAAGTAATAATCGATATAAAATACCGCATAAATCCGTATTTCAGCAAACCAGTCTAGTTATCTCTTCGTTTTAAAGGCCACGTAGTTAGGGGATAACTATTGTAAGCTGGTGTGCGAGATCTGTTGCAAAGAGTTGCAGCATTTCTAAATTTAAAAAAATTCTCACTGATATTTTTCTGAACATCAGAATCTAAACATAGTCTCATATCTATAAACTTATAAACAAGACAAACATTCTTATTCTAAAACCTATTTTAAGACCAAAATGTTTGTTTCAGGCTGTCTGCAGCAGAGTAGGCGTAGCACTGTCTATGTACTACAAATGGCATTAAAGTGAAACTAAAGGGAAATGGGTATGCACAGGTATGTATTACAGTTAATGTTGAATTTTTTTTCGTTCGTAGAAGCTATCCAGTAGTACATACTTTGCTACTTTATTTCCAGCAAATTAAAAACGCACATAAGTCTCTGGATAAGCAAAAAATACTGATGGTAAATCATACAGTAAATCCGGCTGAATATACTCACATCGTCACATAGGGGCGGACCTATATCAAATGGACTGAGGTCATCGTCGCTGATTTCATGGTATTCATGACGTACTGATGGACATGCAACTGTTGCTGCTGTTGTTTGTGCAGTCAGAGCCACTTCTACTGAACTTGGTGCATTGAGCTGACTAAATGGAGGTGTGTGTACAGTATCCTCTGTGAGTGACTGGCGGAGCAGAGGAGTCATATCCGAACTTGAATCTCTTTGAGGACGACGCGTTTTTGGCTTGCTTTGTCGGCCGTTACCTTCCGCCCGCTCTAGGGAAGGCGATCGTGGTTGATTAAGATTAAGGAATGGGGCTGTCGCAGAAGCGCGGAAGTAACCAACACTTCCACGACAAAATCCCTTCCAGAGCTCTGGAGTACTCTTGTCCAGTACAGTAATGAGATCTCCTTGCTGGAAAAAAAGAGCGTCGCGCTGTGGGCGGGGAGTATTTTGCGAATTACGCCGAGCCTGCACCTGATCGGGCAGAGAGTTGGACATAAATCCTACCAATTGAGTAAAACTAGGCCTGTGACTAGGCTCATGAGCCCAACAATTTAGCATAATAGCAAAGATATTTCGCGGGCAGGCATCTGGGATCTCCAAGCGTTGACAATTAGGTTCATCGATAATGGCTAAAATCTGATGCCCACTAAATTCTCGCCATGGCTGTTGACCAAAGCTAAACAATTCCCAAAGAGTAACCCCAAACGCCCATGCATCACTAGCAGATGTGAACTTCAGAAAATTAATTGATTCCGGTGCACACCAGGCAATTGGGAGCTTTAGATTAGCGTTAAAGTTAGTCTGATAATAATCCTTCCCAACGCCAAGAGCTCGCGATAATCCAAAATCGCTGATCTTAACAAGGTCGCGCGCAAACACTAGTACGTTTCTCGCAGCAAGATCCCGATGAATCATCCGTCTACTCTCAAGGTATGCCATTCCTTTTGCTATCTGCAAGCCGAAGGTACAGAGTGTCCGTGGACAGAAATGCAAGGCAAGACCAGGCTCTTTGAGGCATTCCAGAAGCGAGCGAAAAGGCGCGAGTTCAGTGACAAGTAGAAGATCTCGGCCACTGTGTACCACACCATGTAGTTTGACAATGTTTGGATGAGAAATACTGTGCAAAATAGCAGCTTCTTTGAGGAAGTCCTGAGCATTTGAATGTAGCCTTTCGTGAGCCAAACACTTAACTGCAACATGCACTCTGTGTTGTTGATTCATCCAAACTCCTTGACGTACTACCCCAAACTCCCCAGCACCCAGCTGCTCGCTAAGAATGATGTGCGAGCGTGGAATAAGGTGTTGCTGGGGTTGCGGTTGTGGGGAACCACTTGTCCTCAAAAGCTCGCTTTCACCCATTACTCCATCAAACTCGGCTGACTCCCTGCGGTCCATCGGCATCAACTGCTTACCCATTAGGAATTGGCGAATTTTTCCAAGATATCCTGTGTTGCTGAAGTGTTTATCGACATATCTACGTAACCGGCGCTGCTCGGTTTTAGTCATACCCAACTCACGAAGGTGGCGATCGTCGAGTAGCTTAAGTTGCTCAGGAAAGTAAACCTGAAGGCCGAGAATTCCCGCGCGAAGGTGCTCGTAGTAGTCAGCGAGCTCGGCTTCTACTAGCAACTCGTAAAGCGTCGGGCTTGGATCTGTTGAGCTCATAGTCACCACGAGCCTGGCCGTCGTTGTTGCGAAAGCATCACACTGCTGGCGCATGGGGTCGCTTAGGTCCAATGATCCCTCTACAGCTTGACGCTCTTAAAACACCTACTCTCCACCATATCAGCGCCAAACACTTACGCCTGCTATTACCATTTGACTACACTCACCACACAACGATGAAAACGTTGTCGGCGCATTTGTCCACTTAAAAAAATGCTATGACAACTATTCCCTGGGGAAATCTAGTATGGGCCTTCCGGGCTCTGTTGACGCTGCTTACAGCGACCTCACTCGACCCAGTAAGATTGACTAACCCACCGAACGACAGCCAGACAGCCAAACAGCGACAGCTAAAACGACAACAGCGACGGGAGCGGCAATACTAGGAAAGCCAAAGAGCAGCACCAACACCAAATGGAAGAAGCACACCTCATAGCTGTTAACCAATCAGTCAACAAACAAACGAAGAAGCCAACAAAAGCTAGCAGACGACTTCTCATATCGAGCCAGTCAGAGTACTTTGTGCATTGACATTGTGGCTTCTTGATGCTGGCTGAAACTGGGTTGTTCTCACCATATTTGGAGACGGCTGCGCCCTCTTGTGGCATTTCAATGAAACCCAACGTCACGAAAACTGTAGCTCTTCTCGAATGACAAAGGGACGTGTCAGCTTCTCTAGTCCCGTTATGACCGTCCTGATGGTTGCCTATCAAGAACATCTTTGAAATAATAAATTAAAACGATATGAATTGTTTAAATACAAAACATATATATATCAGTCATTTAAATTAATTTCCAATATTTCAAAAGTACAAAAATGGTAAAGCTGTTTATTATAAAGATTTTTATAAGCTAACATTTTAAATAGAAGAGATTCGAATTTTACTGCATTTGAAATGTGTGTAATGAACGCTGTATTTAGTTTTTTACGGACAAAACTAATAAACCAATATAATAGACCATTTTGTCTCTCTATTTCTCATCTATCAATGACACGGTTGTTGAAAGCAGTGTGCTCGAACTGTAACTAATATAAGTTAATCAAATCAGGTATCAGAATTTATTACGAATACATTAGTGAGAGCTACCGATACCAGGTTACCAATGTAAATACAAGTCTAATAGCAATTTAATCATAGAAATTACCAATTTTGTTCCAGTAATGTGTCTCTACAGGGTTTGACTGTCTCTCAACAGTACCGAGGACCTACAATCTTCAGCTTTCTAATTGTTTCCACATTTCATAAGCATGAAAATACCGGAAATTCGAATTACGGATCATATCAATATAATAACATCTTGTCGACGACGGTGTCTTAAGACACATGCAAACAACACTGTTTCGCAAGAAGTAGTTTGTAAAATCATAATTATGGACATATACGCGATATGTATATATCAGAATTACTTATCAATATCGCGAAACAATTGGCGCGGATTCCTCGAGCTCCGCTTTTTTTTGTATTCATGAGGCGTACATAATGAAACCAGCCATTTTGCGCTGTGTTTTCATAACAAACCAACTATAGTCTTTTCTGTCCGAAAGTAAGCTGTGTAGTACTGTGAATCTCAAAAGATGGATTTTCAACATTTATTATATAAAGATGTTCGCCTAGGTCAAAATGTTGCTCAAGCTGTTCGGAACGAATGTCTGCGCTAAGAGCTCGCGATCGCTGAACGAACTGCTCTAGAGTAGTTTTCGAGGTTCAAAGATGGTAAGTTAGATTTTGCACGAAACGATGCGCCTTGTTTTGGTAAGCTGTCCAAGATCGACGACGATTGCTTGAGAACATTCCTGGAAGAATATAGTCATCAATGGAGCTCACAATTTTTTATCATCTTTACTCCATAGAGTTCACTCAGAAAATTGGCATTTGGGCTTTCCACGCCCTGACAAAACAGCTTAATATTGGAGCTCAGCACCTTGCCCTGTGTCGAGTCATATGTCCGAATTTTATTCCCTCAATAATACAACATCAAGACATAGGTCTTCGTAGACTGTAGACTGCAAAAGTAAAGATTCAATCACGGATCAACCGTACAGTAGAGCAATTTTAAGTAACACAAAATTCAATGATCTGTATTAACCAATATTTATTAGTTATTGAATAAGCACTAGTCAAAAGAACACAACGAATTTTAGAATAAATTTACGTTTTATTTCCAAATGCTTCTAGTCATAGCTTCTTCTGACAAACGACTTAAACTGTCAGGATATATATGAGGTAACGAGATCGAATGTTATTATATATTGTGCCACGTGCTGAACATGAAAGACATTGTATACTCATGTTTACATCAGAATAAGTGCCATTCATATCCTTGCAAATCTCAAGGTTAGAATTTTACAATAAACATGTATGAGCACATAAGTAATTATAACCAATCTAGTTAACATATAGAAATGTCATAACGCGTAGTGTTTACTATGAAGTTAAATTAGCATTAATGTGGTACAATCTCAAATCACTTTAGTATAATACGGCAATGTTACACTTAATATTTAAACTCTCTGGGGGTTTACGGTGCGCCCAAAAGGAAACGACTTTTTGCAGAATTAAAGCTACATATAGGACAGGTCTTTCAGACAGTAGCAGAATTCAAAGAAAATTCATTTTAACATCGTGACCTGGATTGGCTCAGTTTTCTTTGTGATAATAATGATCGTAACATGACAGCTGTAATTATTACCCTTCACTTGATGCTAAAAATTACTTTTTTTCAAAACCACTGATTTCACATTAAATAGTAACAAGTACAACTAAAAAGTAATATGATAAAGAAATACACCACTTACCATCAAATTAACCACTTAAAGCTTAAACTAAAACTTAACTGGCGGTATTTTACATCATAAATACCTAGTATAATCAAATAATAACAAGAAATTCTTTTATCGACTTATCGCGTAGACTTCTAGGTTACTGGTTAGTAGTGACATGGAAAACTGTGGTGTGTGGAAAATGACGTAGCCTTTTGGCCTTCATATGATTGGCTTCCTACTATGAGATCCTATAAACAAAATTGTATTTTTAATGGACTTGCGTATTTTTTCTTACAATCTATACAAAAAATATAATGAAAGATCTGAATAATTTCGCATAGAGACAACATATCTAAACCTTAAAAATCAGCAAGTATTTTAAAGGAAATCTTTATTAAAGCTGTTATTCTCTGGCATCGTGTAGGCTGTCGACGAATGCACTCATGATTTATTAAATTGTAGACATTTCATCAGATAGGATACAGTAATAGATAATGAAGCTACGGTGGCCTTCAGTATTTTTTTGTTTTCAGTTTTTTTTTTAATATTGAGATACAAGCAAGCTTTTTAAGAATATGTACAAAATGTATGAAATTATTTCAGATAGAGGAACTGCCAAAAAATTCCTCTAAGATCGAATCTTTAAAAAAGAAAACGAGTAAGAAAATCAGAATTTGGATAAGCTAATAATTTAAAATCAAAAACAGGATCGACGCTACAACGTGCAGATTCATTCTTATTGAAGCAGTATAAAACTAAATAAAACTTTGGTCTTCAACTAATTATACAGTATTATTGCACGCTTCTAGACTGTACAAAAACAAGTTGTTTAAACTTATCCGTAGACCACACTTCTATACTCTAAATATATACGATGATTATCTCCTTATCATGGCTGAGTTGCAAATAATTCGCTTATAGGGAACCGAAGTAACGCACCTCGGAATTAATAGTTGCAATCCAACAAATCTTGCGGCGATTCTGCCTATTCTTGTAATCCCAAAGCTGCCCCTACGCACTATGCGGTACTTCATCCGTTATAGAAATTGAATGATGCCAAATGTTTCAGTTTTATTGAAAAATCGATTATCGAATCAATGCCACTACAGAAAAAGTAGCAAATTTTCTGTATTAAAAAAGTAACATAGATGTACGCAAGCAGTGCGAACATACATCTCCTTGCGTGCAGCCCATCTGTTGACATGAATGATCTAATGTAAATATTATCCTTTTCTCAACTTGGGACTTCGTGAAATGTTTGTGAAAATGTTCATTTTTCCTCTGACTTGGTGAACTATTATCTATCCATGAAGAGGTCGTCACCATCAGCCCAATCCAGATCCTCATCCTCACCTGGGCCTTCTTTAAATAAATGATGAAAGCGCTCAAACAGTAACTCTTTACCATATTCGTACAATTCTACATCTAAACGATTCGCTTGTCGAATAGCCGTTTCCGTTTGGGCTGACCACCAGCTGTTGCTACTACTCGCGCTGTTTCTAAGGTAATTGGAGAGACGATTAAAACGACGGTGCGGTCTTGATTGGAAATGAACCCCGAAGACCGCTTCAAACATCCGCTGAGAAACGTTTGGAAATTCGGCAATACCAAAAAACGCCATTTGTTGCAGGTTGTTCTTCGCACTGTGCAGTAGGATCATATCTCGTTGTGTCTGGCCGTAGAATGGAAAATAAGCATGATTAGAAAACGTACAACGACATTAGCACTAATATAAATACCACGTCTGTCTAAAAGCGAATGCACTTTTATCCATTGATAATTTCAATGTAGTTAGCAAATTTTTCATTGTTGCTATAAGTTCACCCTTTGTAAAAAAAAACTTGTAAAAACAGGGTTAGATATCAAATACGCGTCTGGGAAGGAAAATAAAGGTGTTAAGATAAAGATGCCTAACAACAGAACTAATACAATAGTACTGTAAGATCTCATATATTTTTTCACATTATAATAACTTACCTGATTCATTGAGGTATCGTAACAATTAACAAGGCGTAGATCCGCAAGCATCCTTGTCTGCCTGTTAAGTGCAAGGTTATCTGTACAGGAGGCAAATTCTTCAAGTGTTACCGATGCAGGGTCTTTTCCCTCGAAACAATCCCGCACATCAGGTAGTAAATGCTCGCGTCCCCCACAAAGAAGTCGTGAAGGCCTCGGACCCCGTTTCTCTACAAATCGTAGCCACTCGCTATGAAAACGCCGAACAGGTTCACGGAGAATGCTGATATACAAATACCTGTGAAGATAAAACGCGTAAAGTATTAGAAAATTCACAATGTTATACCCATATCTTCACAACTCTAAGTTGAGAACACTATCTCTTCAGAACAAGGGCACAGCAGATGAAATAATGATTGTGATGATTCACTCACCTTCTCACGAGCGAGTACAAACTAAGTGTGAATATCATTATACAATTCAGTTAATACATAGAAAAAAAACGAGCTGAGGTGGGACTGATTTGAATCAAGACACCGCAAATATCTTTTTTAAATTGAATCCTGGGTGAACTGCAGAAACTCTATAATGGCAAAAAGCAAAGCCAAGACGAAATCACCAGTTGATCTTGAGCTACGCAAATTCTGTTTGTTCCTATTCGCCGTAAATTTTTTTATTGTTATTTTCTTGTCACTCGATAACGTATCGTAGTTTGAATGTATAATCAATGGCAGCTAAGCCGTGTGTTTTTCTAATTTGCAGTGGTATATGTATTTCAATTTATTTAGTTCATATACTTTTTTCTTAAATTTAGGTTACTCGATGAGTTAGCGTTGAAACAGCCGTGGCTGGACAGTTGAGACGAGCGTTCCAGCCCACCTTTTAATTTTATACGTCACAATCAGCGCTAAACTGGCACTAAAGTTCTTATAGTATCATAGTCATATTGCTCTGTGTAGTGGTCTAAATCATAAATGGATTGTACATATAAAATACGAGACATTACTATCCTCGTTTGTAAGCCAGACTTAATTTGGTATGTTTGCACGGATAACCTTGTAATGACAGGTCTGCTGTCAGCACATCATAGCAGGGTTCAACTTCCTTTGTTTTTACTCTCTCAAGTTTGCTAATTTCTTTATAAAATAACAAGCCCGAAAGCGCTGCCATAGTCAACATTGAATCTTAACAAGCTGTTCCTACCTTACTTCTTTGTAAATCAAGTTTTCGCTTTAAAGTAAAAGTAGCTCGTTGGCACCGGAAATAGAGAATCCCTACAGCCAGCACTTAATGATATAGGTTAGGGTATGACAATGAAGTTCTTTTAAGCATGGAATCGTGAGAGTAAAGACCAGTAAAGCAGAAAAGATGGGACTCCATGCGTAAATACAATAATTTTTTCGCCACCAGAAGAAAAATTACCAGTAAAGTACTTAATTACATGTAGAAGGTTAAACTGTGGCTTGAAGAGTACGGCAACAATGCAGTTTCTATGCGCGTATGCCTGTGTTGTAGATAAAAAGAGTGCCCGAAAATTAGACAAGCACCAACTCGGCGAGAGACGACTGGTCCCGTGAGTTTCTCAAAAGAAACCTAGAATTAAGTATACTAGTGTCAGATGCCACGAGCTTCTCAAAAGACGGGTTGTCCATCACCAGTGAGACGAGCAGTAGCAAAGATTCAAGCACTTAACAAAGACAGTCAGTGTTAATAGGAACGAGACAACGAAGCTTATTCTTTCCATGGTACCCAGTAAATTTAAGCAGTCGACGTATGTTATTAATGAGAAGAGCGAAGTGTGATCTTTTGGCTTTAGTTTGCGATTGAAATATATACTGGATGATAATCAGTCTTAATTTACTTCACGGGGTGTCTCAACCTACCCAAACATTGGACTGAATTTTTGCAAAATTTAACATAACATACTTATGCGCATGTATTCAAACCAGACTGACACATATTAGTCAGATGACAGGGCTATAATATCAGACTTTTAATTAATGTATTTTGTACGCTAGATTTCATGGGTCCTCGAATTAAAATTACTTTATTTCAACCTATTTTCCCCTAAGTGTAAATAAAAGATTTATTCATTTACCTCCGTCTGCGGGGCTCTCCGTCTGCTTCATCTAGAACTCGATCAACGCAGCCTGTGAGCTGTGTCCAGTCAGCATGAACCCCACAAAGCCAACCCCCACTTAAACGGCTAAAAAGCCATGGAGTTTCGTCTGCTTTTCTTAAGCTGTCGTCCGCGTGACAACGGCACTTCTGTTTCCGGCTGTGGAATGAGTCGATTGGAATGAAGAAGATGGTTAAGATACTACAGATACCAGTACGCTTACTGCCCATGAATATCGCAATTATCCATCGTGCGCACTGTTAATTCACGGTTCTCTAAGTTGTATGCTGCCTTTGGTCAGCAGCTGTGTTATTCAGATGGTAATCCGTATGCGCCTACTATCAAAAGAAAAGTAAAGCACTGTTCTCTTTCAGAATAATAAGTAATGACAGAAAAAACACCATCTCTATAAATATAAAAAAAAAAGCAACAATAGAAGTACATATTATCCTCTTTTTACTTACCCGCTCTTTCTAGAACAGAGACACGGAGGCTTCTCCATAATATCAAGGTCTTCAATCATGTGTTTTTCAAAAAAGTTTGCTCCTGCATTCTGGATCTGAACAAAAACAATGACATCTTTTCCAGAAGACGGATCAAACCTGCTGGTTCCATCTCGAAATAGAAAATTATGAAAGCTATTCTCGATGCCGGATTCGCGTGCTCTGTAATATAAAAATGGTCCGTGGGCTGATTATATTTGTTTTTATTATAAACAACCTTTTGACTTATTCGAAGGAGAAAGTCTCTTATTCACAGAACAAGACTTCTACATTAAAAAAAATGTTCTTATTCAGCTCATAATAATCGCTCATCACTAATTTGGAAAATACTCTTTACACATAGGTTTAGTCGTACGTTTCATATAATTTTTAAAGATTGTGCATCGTATAGTTTTCACAAATCCCAGGCATAAAATTGAACGTTTCAGCATTATTTATGACATTTAAAATACAGAACTTGACTGGTACACATTAATATATATATATATACATGTATATATATATATATATGTATATATATATACAGCTAATTAAGAAGCGCCAAAAGAGTTGCCAATAGATTTCGCTTATTCTTGAAAAAATCAAAAGCTACTAACCGAAGATGAATCATAGGCTTTGTAGAATCAAATAGAGGTCCTTGGTACAAATTACCGATAAAGAGTCCAAAAAATAGAGCGGCGAATACTGCAATAAGAAGGGAACGACGCGTTTGCCCTCCTCCACGAGTGTGCGCCGTGTGAGGGGTCGTCGTTCGGACACAGCAAGCCTTCGTCACAGACTGATCAGTCGGAAAGCTAACTACAGGAACTTGGGATACTCTCGATTCCAACAACGACACCCCCAGTCCATACGAATCCATTGCTACAACTTTTGATTCAATTAGATTACCTACACATTTGTATCTCTTGTCAACACTTTATGTCGGGAAGAATCGCAGGGTAGTCTTTGGTAGGGAAGCTGCATTTGATACTTCATTCTTGAAGCGGTTGGTAAAACATGTTAGTATCATCCAGTAAGTAGATCTGTTCTTTCTTGCGCTGGGCTATCAAATTAAAATTAAAACCAATACACGAACTGCGCGAAACACATCAGATTATCTGCTATCAAACAAACAGGCCAATGTTGGAGCCCCCGACACCACTGGCACTCGTGGGCATTGGCACATATGACACTATTTGTAAACATGCTTCACTGAGGGGCCTTTAACTCCGTCAACTTCATTTTACAATAAGGTGAAGCAACGCGTTTTTTATTCACTGACATAAACTATGCTGGCTTGCTTATCGCAACCCAATGACCCAAGATTAAAGATAAATTTTTAGGGACTATAAAAGGAAGAAGAGGCAGATCGTTTTACATCTGGGAAAGTTTAGTCTTGACAAGCCGGAAAAAGCGGAACGCGTATAATTTTTTTTGTAGAGGTACCTCCTCTCAAAGCTTCCTCTCATTTCTTAACAGGAGATATGGCTACGTTTAAACTGCCACATAGATCATATTTGAGTTTACCGTGAGATTAGGAATCTGTTACTCACTAATGGTGCGCCATTTCAGGTTTGTACTGCCAATGTGTAAAAGCGAGCTGTCCCCAAAAACAGACACCAACCAAAAAAACTTGAAAAAGAGAGGAGCTAAAAGGGGTACTTACTGCCCTTGCAACGATAAAAATAGAAAATTCAAGCCATATTCTTTGTCTCTTAGACAATTAATGATTTATTTTTTATCTTTTTTTTTTTTTTTTTTAAATAATTTCGTTGTTTCTGGGATCGGCTCTTGGCCTTTATTTATTTTTAGCAGTCGTTTTTATCACTGACTTTCTCAGCGTGTTTGAAAAATAAAGTGGTTGTATACTAATTTTTAAAATATAATTTTTTAATGTCGCAATGTTTGGAGTATAATAACGTTATATTATTAACGTTATATTATTATTTTTGCGGTGACTCTTTCTCTCTCCATTATCTTGTCACGGGAAGAATACTGGCCAAAGTACCTATTTGGTGTGTGGGTGGACAGGGTGTCTTTATTATTGAGATAATCATCCTTCTGGTATCCGCGAACTATATTCCCAATTTTAAAACTTATTCAAAAGGTTCATTAATGAACCTGTTGGAGAGATGCCTTCAAGAGTAATTAAGTCTTTTTAATAAATTATAATAATCACGTTTATATCAAGGGCCAATGTGGCTAAGTGTGTAAATTTTGCTACAATTCTAACATCAGTTTTTGACCTGCTTTATTTCTAGTGTAACAATCAGAAAGTAGATACAATGATTTTATTAACAAATTTGAAATATTAGCATGTATGATAATAATAGCAAGTATTATTATTACCATTAATATAATTATATGTTACCCAGTGCTAAATAGAAACAATCAGAGCTTACTTGAAATGTATAAGCAGCAACAAAATTAGGTTTAATTTAATACTAGGATACGAGAAACAGTATTTTTACAATTTGGTATGTCCATTTCGCTTGACCACGCATCTGTTGGTGCCTTTCTGAATGCCATAGACTGTGTTAGTCTCTAAAGAATGCATAACTAATAATCTATTGTATATTGACCCTATGCAAATCACTGCATGCCAATAATTATAATTAATCACTATAAAGAAGGAGTATAGTTAAGAAACGGCTTGAGCGCTCGCCAAAATATTGCAAATTACTTTTTCGCCTGTGCATCTAGTTTACCTAGATGCACGCTATCGATAACTTGATTAGCACACAGAAATAAACAAAATCCCTAATATAATCCTAATTGTACATTTATAATAAATGGCATAAAAGTATTTATAGTGCTTATTACGTTTTCAACAATCTTATATGTAACCATAGTTAGCTTTCAGCGACCACTCGTGAAGTTCATTCGACAAAGCACGGTTTGTGCATTCAACCTCGAATAAACTATATGCATCAGGTAGCATTTAGAAATTTGATGATGTGTTGGTAAGGATGTCGCCTGTGGAACCTGCGCTGGTTGTGTCATAGATTGCTATCCTGGTTTATATTCTTGATCTGTTTTAACTAATTGAGAGGGTTCTGCGGTGTTCTCTATGTGGCTATTGGAATAGCATATGGCAGGGGCCTGGCTTGTCTGCGTGTTTCTGACCTTGACGAAGAGGCTAACGTGCGCACGGGTGAGTGAAGTGATGACATGGTGCCTGCTAAAATGTCGCACGAAAATAAAAAAGACAGAGATTTGAGATTGTCTACCATGCCCGGCAAAAGACCGCCGCGATTGCTTTACGGTTCTTCGCCGAACGTAAGAAATACTAACTCTTTTGGCCTTTCTCCGTTTGGCGGACTGTACAATGTCTGCTTTGGGATATATGCTTAGTGATATTTGTCAATGCTAGATCGCTGTCGCTACATTTTGACAGCGCGTTCGAAAGCATTGACAGAACTTGGATCATCGCAATGATGATCATTTGTAGTTGTATGTAAAAATATACCAATAGCAGTGTTATGCTATGCCCGCACGTCGACTGTGTGTGGAATGTACGCGCGCGTATACTGATCCAATGTTTATAATTAGCTAAGGTGCATATACTTAGATGATCTGCCCTCCGTATCAGTTCTAAAGGATGAAATCGCAGAGCATAAAAAGCTTTTCCTTTTCTTCCACCATAGTATCGAATAGGTGGCATATAGGTAACATTTCAACTAACATATAGCTAACAAGTCACAACATATTGCATTCAAAAAGGCTGGTAAAAACCATTGAAGTAACGTCCGCCAGTTCCTTGGTCCAGTTGGATAGCATTGGATTTTACGTTATAATGAACTTACGTGACCAGCAATTTCTTGAAAGATATCCACAAATACACAATAACAGGTCTGAGAGGAACCATTTAGCTTATCTCTGTTCTCAGAACATCTATTTCTAGCAGCAGCTGAATGTTTACGGGGATCACTCATGTTTTTGCATACCCCTAATTAAAAACAACACAAAGCGGTGACGACTGTAGACAAGCATCAACTACCATAATTCAGACGAACGGCTATTTGGAATCTTTTGAGGAACTATACAATAGTACATTTTATAAGAAGTGGCCAGCGGTAAGTTTAGTGAAGGCGGGATCCAACTGTCGAGGGCAAGATTACGTGATGCATGAATAACTTTCAAATATGATGTGAGCATTTCAGATTACTTCGTCAAAAAGTGCTGTTAAATCGAAGGAAATCGTATCGGAATATCAGAAGTGCTTATTATACTAGGAAGGCTAAATTAGTGTCCATGATGTAAAAACTATTAAGGTAGCTAACCACACATTAAGGAAATTTAATGAGCTATGTCATTAACTTTTACTACTGATTAGTTCCGTGCAGCACAATTCGCAGTCTACAGAGGGAGCCATTTGTACACATTGTTTCGGTTGACCGCAGTTCAGGTCGACTGACGTTAAAACTTTTCTTTCTGTAGCCCCTTTCCACGCGGAGAATTTTACTCAGAATGTTTTGCTTGTGGGATTGTGGAGTTCGATTTATTACTTTTAGATCATCTATAAGTCATGTATTTACGGGCATCCTACCCCACCCCTAAACGTATTGCAATTTTGTTAAAATCAAACGTACTTAAGCTTTGATGCTATTCGGTACCTATTTGACTATACCTTCGACTTTGTTTAAGAGTCGTTTGATTGCAGCATTTACGACCACGATTTACTGAAATTTTTCTTTATACTACATGAAAAACTTGGAGTTAGTGTGTAATGTCCAAAGAGAAATGCATAGCAGGCACGCACTGGATATAAATGCTAAAGTGAATATTTGCTATTTCATAGCGATATTTTAAGATCTTATTGTACAAGATTACATGTATAACGCACGTCATTGCTAAATCAAAGGTTATTACATTTCCTACCGTTACCTACGTGAAATACGAGGTGTTCGAAAAAGTTCAGTCTAAAATAATGATACAAAGATGGCAGATACGCGTAAACACAGTACTAAGGCCAATTATGTAATCATTTCAGGAAGTCCCTAGATGTAAAGTTGTAACTAAGCCGGACGGCCGGTTACTCCGGCGCTTTCCGGTTTGACAATGAAACAGGTGCGGTACACGGCGCTTCCGCGCAGTGGAAGTCGAAGCGTGCGTTCTCCTCAACGAAAAAAGCCATTGCTCCCTACTAGGTAAGCTGTGAGCTCTTTAAGTGAGCGGAACAAACATTATTTGATTTTTTGACTTAGTATACTCATTTCACATATACACTCTCGATGTGCACTTAACGGATAAAATATTCGGTTTCCGAAAAGTGAAAATATTTCGGAACCAAACCAATGACACAGGGAAAAGAGTCGTGTTTTATTTGCGTAGAAAAGCCAGGGGTCATCTTAAAAAGTTGCATTGCTATACGTGTTATAACTAAATGAGGTGAATGCAACCTGTTGCCAACTGAGTTAACTGTTATTATAACACATGCCAATTACATGGGCATTATTGTACTTTATAGAAGAGTTGTTTTGCCATCTAGTATTTATTGTTGGCTGTGCGTCTACAATAAAATAAATCTAATCGTCTAAATACCTATAGTTCAGTCGGCAGGTGACGCGCCGGGAGGGCACGTACTTAGTGTAGCATTTATTTATTGATTAACACACCTTACCTAAATGTAGGGACTGCAGAGCGCTAAGTGGAGAAACCCCATCTATGAAGTTGCAATGAATAGTTATATAGTAGAAGCAAATTGAAGTAAACATTTTCCGATTTATCGTTAAATTACTTCTTAGCAATCAGTGCAGGTGTACACTTCAACGTAATAAAACCATTATAATTGAAACAAGCCAATCGTATTTAACAAGCGCAGCATTCTGGTTTTTTTCAGATATACTCTGGTGCTGATGCTGTTTTGGGCTTTCTTTATGCTCTACTCGTTACGCGTCAACCTCTCGGTAGCTATCGTGGCTATGGTCAATCTAACTGCGTTAGAAAGCGCCTTACCGCCCACAATTGATCCGTTGTTGGAGACCTGTCCGCGTAACGTTAGTCAGGACCCTCTTCCAAGTAGCTCACGGCTTGCGACACCGGATTACGTTGGCGAGTTCAATTGGGACGAAAATACACAGGGTAAGAAAGTTAGCGCAGTAAATGTTGTATGGAGGTTTTTTAACACACATGAAGTAAACGTGCGATATAGAAGTGTTAACAAATGCTGCGCTTTTTTATATTTCCTGTCGTTTTGTGTATGCTTTAGGAATGATCCTAGGTGCATTTTTCTATGGCTACGTGCTAACCCAACTGCCGGGGGGCCGACTGGCGGAACTCATAGGGGCTAAATGGCTCTTGGGCTGCGGTATTCTATGGACGTCTGTGCTTTCGCTGGTAACACCGTTTGCGGCACGCGTATGGGGTGCCCGCGGCCTTGCTCTGGTTCGAATTCTGCAGGGACTTTGTGAAGGCGTCGTGTTCCCGTCGTCGATGGCCCTTCTTAGCCACTGGGCGCCTAAGCATGAACGGTCGCGTATCATATCGTACAACACTATAGGCACATCAATGGGGACTGTAGTTACTTTGGTTGTCACAGGCCAGTTTTGCTCACAACAGAATGGTTGGCCGAACGTGTTCTACGTTTTTGGCGGCGCTGGCTGCATATGGTTCATGTTCTGGGCCTTATTAGTACATGAGCGACCCGAATCCCATCCGCGTATTTCGAAGCATGAGCTTAACTATATACAAAATACACGAGGCTATGTTGCAGGTCATCGAGGTAATCTGCCTTGGCGAGCTATCCTCACCTCATCCGCGGTGTGGTCACTAGCAGTGACCATATTCTGTGGAAACTACGGATTTTACTTTTTGCTTATCGATTTACCGAATTATTTGAGCGGTGTGCTCCATTACAAAATTTCAAATAATGGCTTCCAAAACGCCCTCGTGCACCTGTCGTGCAGTCTGAGCATGTTGCTCCTGGCTCCTGTTGCTGACTCACTTCGGAAGAAACGTTTGTGTCCAACTACTCGGATTCGAAAAAGCTTCCAAATGGTTGGTCTTATGGGACCTGCAATATGCCTGGCTTTGGTGCCTTGGGCCGGCTGCGATCATATGTATGTGATGACGTTGCTTGTGGCAGGTATGTCACTTTATGCATTCACTGTGGGTGGCCAAAACCCGATGCCATTAGACATGGCCCCAAATTTCGCCGGCACCCTAATGGGCATTACCAATGGTTTTGGTAATCTCAGCGGAATGGCGGCACCCCTTATCACCGGTTGGCTGATTCAACACAACGACACACTGGCGCAGTGGCGCAAATTGTTTCTTTTAGCCTCGGCGATCTATTCGTTTGGTGCCGTGCAATTCGCTTTGTTTGGTTCGGCTGAGCTACAGCCGTGGGCTGCTCCGACCGACAAGGTAGAGCTGTTCGGAGACGAAAGCGCCGCGAGCGACCACGAAGCTCTACACCTCACATAAATATAATCTATAATGATCAAAAAAATTTTCCCGCATTAGCCCATTTTTTCTATTATATCGATAAAGCAAACCCGTTGTCTATTATCGTATGTACTTTCTCATTTTTGTCGTTTTTGGAACACAGGGGTTTCGGATGAACAGGATATCTCGATATCGAGATTTTGCGATATAATGTTTTCAAGATTTCATCAAAACCTATGACCAGCGTCTTCTGCCTCGATGTTTTACCCTCGTTTCACTGCTGTATTGGATAATGTCGCTGATTCAGTTTTGAGGCTATTGTGTCAACGTCAAATCATCGCGTTCTTCATTAATAACAGCAGCAGTATCGACAGGTTTAGCATGGATGCTGGCCGGAATGACATTGAATGACTGGGCGGTAATGCTCCGTCAGACATTTGCCATTTGTATGAGAGATCTGAGTGGACGCTGGATGCAAGAAATTACTCAAGTACAGCGTTCTCGGCTGTTCTCAGTCGGAAGCGGCGGCAGCGTTGTATTAGGTGATAGTAAAGCGGACATCTTATTATTTTCGACTGTGAGCTAGGAAAAAGCAGTCAAATTTCGAACAGCAGTGAGACTGAATCAAAGGAGGAGATCAAATGTGCCTCGAGGAGCCGGCTAGGCAGAAAGAACAGGTAGAGTCGGATATCTGTCTGCCGGGCTATGATTATTATTCTTGTTGTTGTGTATATATTGAGACAAGCAAAACATAAAAAAAAATAATAGATAGATATCGCATACATATGGTGTGTGATCTTAACTTCCGGAAAGGCACCGCGACGCAATTACAGTAGGTGATGTCTATTATTCAAACGTGACATATGCCAGGTATATGATTTCCATTGAGGCTAAGGGGTCAATTGACTAAATTAATTAATTCCACTGAACTGCAATTGATGCGTGCAACACTCGATTAAAGGCAATTGCGATTGCATATCCATGAGAGTTAGGCATTCTCCCAGTCACCTTCGCGTTGTATTAGAGCTGTATATTGTATGCCCTTTATAGAAATATGTTTATTACTTTTTTGCTCTTCATCCGTTTTTTTTTTCTCACTGCAGCATGAAGATGTGAGCGTTTTAGCCAGGCAACTATTTCCGGTTAAGGTTGAAGTCAATGCAGAATAATACCACATCTGGGATGGACGACAGGTCATATCCAAACAAGCTGCGGAGTAGTTCGATTTGTGGCATTAAACAATTGTTGTGCGTTAGGGGCCCACGCTAAACAACCACAAGATCCCATGTTTGATACCCAGCTGGCTCTTAGTAGTCTTTTTCCAAACAAACTGGGTTGATAATATCAGTTAGCCAACTTGAATATCATTAGTCTTCTTATGCATAAGAGACGCAAATTAATTTTTACCGCGCCACGGGTGGCCAGCTTACAGCTGAAATGGTGGCACTGAAAGGTTTGAGACTTTACGAGGAAAAAACAGAAGTTTACAGGATTTCATTTAACATTGCCTTACTGGACCCCCGCTAAAAGACACGCCACCAGTATATTTATCATGCATCTCAGGAATCATCGATGTCATGCCATCTATTGTAGCATTTATTAGCAGACTTTTCTTTCATATTTTTACAAGTCTGATGTGCCTGTGCGCGATAAAAGACACAGTAAGCCAGTCCGTTTGTTTGGAATGTTATAGCTATTATAATTATCAAATTCAACATAATCTTCGCAGTATTTTTATTTGAGAATTGTATCATAATCTCGATGGTTGTTCTATTAGAATGATGATTGAACATATACATGGTTTTTCAATAAACCTCTATCTATTTATATATCTGTCCATGGATTAAAGAATGGTTATAGAATCAATTGCTGTATAATGAGTGAATGGGTGGCAAGAGGACTGTAAGTTCTATGCTAAATCGTTGTTTGTTACCAGAAGTGAATGAGCATTTATAATGAGAAAAAATGACCATTAGGTGGTTGAGTTAACACCCACTCCTGTTTCGGTTGTACCAGAGAAACTGGCCGAAACAATTCCACTTTCTACTTCGAATACGGGAATACCTAGTTATCACCTTATCCATCGATAGGCTGCGTAAATCCATTTTATTTTTCTAATTTAACAACGACAAAAATAATATAAATGTAATGCGAAGCGATGACGTAATACAACATTGTGATATCTGTAGTATAATATAATAATACTAATTAATAATAACAGTAATAATAATAATAATAAATGTGGTAATTATGGCGAGTATAAATGTAGTCATTGTATTTAATTATTTCAAGCTGAGAGCAGGAAAATATAGTAGCATCTTACGATTATAATGAAAGGGAACGCTGTCATAATGATGTGCAATCTGCGTACTCAAAAGTATTGAATAGCAAAGAAATAAGGATGCCGATGATGATTTGATTGATTCATGCTATCTAAATATGCGACATCATGTACATTGTTGGACACGTGTTCCAATAAATATATGAAACCAAATTAAATAAATTAACACATTGACGCAAAAAGTTATTCTAGAGAAAGACTCTTTCTAAATTATTATGAGAAGCCTATAAGTACCATCAAAGGTTACGTTCTAAGTATATTATGAAGGGTAAACTAGGCAAACTTAGATGCCGCTAAGCAACGTATTGAGCAAGTCTATTGTAGGGTTAACATTCCCCGTCAAATTTCGTATTAAGTCTAACATAGACACCAGGTGAAGCGCCGCATGGGCTCAGTTTAAGTAGCAATCTCACTTACCTTGAGACTGATCTAAAATGTTTTTTCACTATATTCTCTGTTAAATTCTGCAGAATTAGATGCGCTCGACGTTTATATGATGTTATATAATGTCAACATAGTCATGTTCTAGTGACATGCTTAAGTATAGCAATTCGTGATCGTGAATTGTCACTTTGATCGCTATGGCTTCTCGACAAGGGGTGATCCTAATAAAAGGGTCAGGGGTAGAACCTGATCATTTCGTACCATCGAAGTGATATTTCTGTTCAAGCTATCTCCTAGCTCGTATGCTGCCGCTGCTACACACATTGATTCTTTGGCGGCTAGATTTATGGCAGTTGAGCCCTCTGCTGAACTGCTAGACAAGCTTTATAATGTAGCTAACTAGTTCTTAATAACTGCTGGTGATTGAGTAATGCAATGTGGCTTATCAATGAAAGCGGTAATTATGGACAATTAATTCTTCAACTTTTTTATGGATCTCATCTAGCTGTTTCAGTAGGCAGTCAGCTCCTAGTTTGTCGTTAACTTATGCTCCAAATTGTAATGCATATTTGGGATCACTAATGATAGTTGTCCAGTAAGATGCGATCACAACTAATGCGTTTTTGTCCGTTGAAGAAATTAAAACGTTGTAGCAACATACATACAGGTGACAACTTTTTAAAAGTGGTTTATGTAGTAACAGAACGTGTCTCCTTTTAATCCAGTGGAGGAGACTCTATGTATCGCAGAGTCAAGTCTTTTTGTGAAACTAATAATATATTTGGCGTCAGGTATGTTATATTTATTGCGTATTTATTTCTACGGCATTTCATCTCTATCTTTGTTTCTATTCACGGGAGGAACGTCAAATATTATAGAAGTCCTTACTTTAATTTAAAAATATGAAAGTGTTTATGTTATGTAGGCAAAATAATGAAAAGTGTAAACAAATCGACATCGTAAAAATTGGAGACTGCGCCCGGTCAACATATAAATGCTTTTAATACTAATTCTTTTTCTGCCAGTTCCATTATAGTTGACCGTGCTTCTTATTGTCTCCATAGCTTGGGAGATTCTTGGTTAGTAAGAGCATCATTTTAAGAAGAATTGGCCTACTACAATACAACTTGTCAGCATGTAGCAAGATTGAACATTGTTGCTTGAAACATTGCAGTGCAACTTCTCTAAGACGTTTGACATATTAAACCATAGGTTATTATTTCTAAATTACGAAAGCGAAGTATTGATAGCCGTTTCTTAAACTTGCTTAGAGCTATCTTATAGATAGGAAATGTTGCGTTACCTTTAACTCTACCTAAATATCCGAAGTCCCTTAAAAATCGGGCGTTGGCCTTTTTCTACTTTGTATTTTTATTCTAGGCTTGAAGCGTACAGGCAGTTCTCATGAACGGTATTCAGATAATTTCACCTATTATGAGGCACACATATACACACGTGGGTCGTCTAAGGATACAGTCAAACTATATTTATTCATTTTTGCTGGAAGTAGTCTAGAATTTCATAAGTGCAGGCGAACAACAATATTTCTCAATATCAGAAAGAATATATAGAATGTAAAATAGTTTGCATTATATGGGTTATATGAATCTTATTGGTTTTACAAAACTAATTTGAGAAATTCGCTAGATGTCCTAGAGGTGGTACTAGGAGATGAATGGCATGATATCTAGCACAATCCTCCCCACGTCTGGAGCACCTACATTTATCGTCAGGCTCGTGGGAACTCGGTTTCCTACAGGGTCTATTGTGAAATCAATGCACGACAAAGCAAATCACAACACGTCTGTTTCGCCGGTTCTCTTTCCACTCATAGTTCTTTACAGCAGTAGTATGTTGGCTAAAAAATACGCTAGGCGTTTTCGAGCCACAAAATGTGGTCCTAGTGTTCTTTTGAAAAATGAAGTTTTGACGCGATTCAATTGTTCGAGGTTCTCCACTATAAAATCTTCCCAAATGGCATGTGTCCCATAGTTCTCAAACAAGCTGAAAGCAGTTGTTAGGTTCAAGCAACGAGGCAAGTCGTTTACTCGTGCTGCCAACACTGCCTTCCTGCATCTTTCGGTGACATGTGCAATAAAACTTCTGCCATTCGCGGAGATTAGCGACTCCAAGTACAAAAACCAATTTACATAAGTATGACACAACTTGACTAAGTGCAAAGTATCATTTTGTCATTGATGGTTATTTTGTTATCTAGAAACGCAGCTAGGAGGTCGAGATTATTTATAGAGACACCCACCTCTTCCAGCGTGAGTATAACCTTGACCCTGTGCGCCGAGTTAAAGGCTCCATTGAACCCGACGAACACCGGGTATGGCATATTGTGCAGCTTGACGCCGGGATGGCGTGTGTACTTTCTAAGTAGTTATTCAGTTTTCTAATTAGCAAGCCTAAGAGAAGCTCATAACACTTATCCCTGCCTTGATGATGGCATGATTAGGTCGCCCTTTCTTTAGGGATCATGAACGGGGCAGTATGTATTTACTGAACTGGGAGTATACCAGTATTTGTATACGTTTATTAAAGAGTGCTGTCCAGCGCGATGCCAGAACGACGGCGCATTTGAGATGCTCGTTGTACTATCCGAACCGACAACTTTTTTTTGTACTATTGTTCTTGTTGAAGAATATCGTGATGTACTGAAATGTACTTCTTCCCACGTTACGACGGTATTATATACCTTGACGCAAACATTTTCTAGGAGTGATTTATGGGAGACGAAAAGCTAAGCGGGTAAGCTGCTGAGCTGCGGTGGTGTATTAGTCACTTGAACTAACTGACGTTGTGCATCAACGATATGTTCAGTCATAGTGCATACGTTTTTCGTTACGTTCTTATAAAAACGGAAGACAAATGGTTGTACTACGATCATAAGCGTGAAAGTTCTGTGCCCTTCGGGCAAGGCTACAAGTATAGTTGAACCGCGGCTTATTCATCTGGAGGGGATGGAGAGGCTACATTGTAAACCGGAAAATTCTAACCAAATATTGCATATCGAATTTCTCATTTCATCGGGTAACAAATTTCGGCCCTCACCACGTCAGCTACAAGAACACTTTCTGAGTGCGTTGCAGGAGCTAGCCTACATAGACGCTATAAGGTGGAGTATGGTGTTTAACAGTCCGCGCAGATGCAACATGGACACGCAAGTTTATCGCCATTGGTACGTGAGCGCGAATGCTTGCACCCTTTGATAGTGAATTATTCTCACCCTATGCATCTATGAGCGAACTTCTTGTACATGATAAGAATGTTGATATCGAAAGTCGCGAGCACGTCTTCAAAAAGCGTGAAGCAGTTTGAGTTTAGCTGATCGGGGCGGGCGTCGAGGTAGTCGACAAGGGCCAGAGAAAGGGCAAGATTACAGATTACTATCAACACTATAACTGACTGGTGTTCTCACAGTGATGCAATTACCTTAATACTTAAGTGTGCAATAACTTGTGCTGATCATTACGAGGACAAATATTCTTTAAACAATGATCTTATCTCAATTTATTTTAGTGGGGTCTAAACATTATGGTCATTTCGCAGACTTGACATCAGCTACGATGCGCGGTATTTTATTTTTTTTCTTGTTCAACAATCAAGCAATCTGAATTTTGCACTTAATGCAAAGCCTGGTGGTTTACGTTCTTGTACATCGTGAACCATGGCACCCGATGGTGTGCAGAACAGATTTAGCAAATCAACCGATATGATATTAGTAGTGGCGAAATTTGGCTCACGTAAATTCAGAAATTACATAACGATATATATAACAGATATAAAAATTACTAGACTTTTAGAATTATTAGATAAAATAATTTTTTAATCAAATCTTTATGGTTAAGTTAAATAATTCATCATATCGACATATTATCTGCGCGTGAGATGTAACTGGTACAAATCGAATGAATAGCATGCGTGTTATTACCTGTGGAAACTATTAATAAGTTTAAATTGTAAAGATTTTTTAAATTATAGCCATATTTTAATATTAGATTATATAAGAATCGGTTATATTTATTGAAATAGCAGCGACCATTTTCGCAACTAGAACCTCAGGAAAGCCGTCTTTGTTGCAACCTTTTTTACTTTAGTTACGCTGCATAAAAAAAGATTTGTGATTCAAACCCTTTTCATTTAGAGGCAAATCGATAGCTTATTATTACTGTGATTACTAATATTATTATTATTATTATTATTAACACAGCTCTACGCGGCTTTATGTAGCAAATATCGGGCTACGAAGACGTTCTTGTGAAACGAAACATGTTCAGGTTCATTTGATGTTCGTCCAGTACGATTTAAAGCTAATCCTAATATTTTATTTAACAGCTCTATTATGATTTAGATCATTGAGTTGTTCAGAATTTCCGGCTGTTTGGTAAAAGCACTGCACTCGGACACAACTATAATAGAATAAAGGCCTTCATTGCCTTTTAAAATACTTTATAGCTTACTTTGCAGCTATTTTAGTTACTTTTCCCCAGATTTAGATAGTAGTATTGTCTATGCATTTCATAACGATGACTAAAACTCAAGATATTTTTGTTTTATGTATTTTAAAATTTAAGCATTAATATATATTGATTCTATGGGGTGGTGCGTTCATAACAAAAACTGTATGAAAAGAAATGAAGTAATTTTATTGATACACATTCAGTTTTGTTGTTGTTACTCTATTTTATTAGAACATTCACCTTTAATTTATCGTCACTTCCGAATTTCCGTGATTTTCTTTTCCATCGGTCATTAGTGTAGTAACTTTATCCTCAAACCGTGGTCACCGTTTTCAAATACTGATGCCAACTCGCACCTATACGAATAACACGAGTCCGTCGCTATTACATTTTGCCTAGCGTGAAGTCTGTTCTTTCTCATATTGTCATTATCGGTTGCCATTTATACCTAGTTCCGACGACCTCGTAGAGCTACCTGTTCGCCACCTTTATATATATACGTATATATATATATATATTATCAGCCCGACCTCGCTCTAACAGGATACCAACACATAATAATAAAAACTCGTGTACTACGCTCGTCGATACTTAAAAATTGTCTCCGTCTTGTTACTCACAAAAATCTTTAGCCTACTATTTCCTTTAATAGGATATTGACCTCATCGCCGCTTTCCACATTAACAGCAATCGCAGTCTATCGTCGTAATCTTAGTTACTGAACCCTTATTCAGGCTGCCAAGACACTTCAGTCTGTTATTCTTTCCATCTGCAGTGGTTCTTTCCACATCAAACGATAGACCGAGTATATTAGTTGTTCTTTCGTCAGTCGATGATTTTTTTAGTGCGATTCATTAATTCATTCATTGTGTGCTATCCTTGTCGTCATGGTCATGATTCGTCACAATTCTGGTGCTTCATGATATAATATTACTTTAACTAATACTTAATGATGATATTTTTGTTATTATTAATATTAGTCATAATATTTACACAACCTGTATATAAATGGGGGGTTCGATTTTTGCTGCTCGATATTTCTGTACGAGGGTTTTTTGCGTTGCAAAGACAAACGTTCTCGCTTTCGTAACATAGAATCATTAAACTTGTTTACTGACTTCAAATACACACTGATTTGTTTATTCTGCCTGCATTTTCTGAACACAAAATATTTACCCTCTTCAAATACCCGTCTCTCAGCCAGACAACCTTCTTGCCGGATTCATAATTATCTCCTGGAGAAATAGTATATAGTTTGTTTTTTTGTTTAGGGCAATCAGATTAGGGAGAAAGCTTCTTCATCAATCATCAGATACATTACTATTCTCGTCTCTCTGTCGATTTTTCGCCACTTTACAATAATTATTATTTAGATGAGCATATTAAATAGAAAATAACGATAATAGTAGCAATAATAATATGGATTGTGGCTAGCAGGCGCAGTGTCATTGCGTGTTCAATGATTAATGACAACACAACAACCTTGAGACACAGGTAAGCCGTTCTCAAGCTCTTGTTGAGGGCCAATGCACTCAATTATATTCCTAAAACACAACATGCCAACTGTACGACAAAGTAGAAGATAGCTAGCTACCCACTAAAAAGTAATATTCTTTCAGGCCTTGCCTCCATGTGATTTTATTTTGTATGCCTTTCTGCCCGAATTTGCCCTGCGTAAGCGTTAACGCAAACAGGGCCTTTCTGGTTACCCATTTGTCGATAGGTATTATTTATAATTGACATATTATTTATATCGTTTGAAACGACCCTCCCTTGTGCTGCTTTTCCATAGTTTTATTCGTATTCTATTTTCCATCGTCATTATCATCAATACTGCTATATGTTTACTGATTTGATGATAAGTCGGTTACATACCGGATCGAAGGAACAACTTTTTTGCCCTTTGACCTCTTGTAACCATTCACAAATCATCACCGCTTTTATTTTCGATCACTTTTTACCAGCGGCAAATATATTTATCCGTACCAGCTAACAAAAATAGATTCCCTGACTTCTTTCTGTTTTTTTTATCCTTGTCAGACAAAGCGTATCGTTCCCCCGTGAGCTACACACAGTACTACTTTCTACCTGCGCTTCCATCCTGATACACCATTTGTGTGCTATAATCGTCGTCATCATAATCTATCTACTATAATTATAATATGTGTAGGTATTTATTACGTGTGTACTGTGTTGAACTGCTGTTCTCGCAGACCACTGCGTACCTCCAATAATCACTTAAAAATCATCTAGGGAAAAATGTTATGATGGTGGTGACGGTGGAGGTGATGAACAAACGAGAGGGGTTTACGGGCTGCTAGCGACTGTGCGTGTGACGCTAGTTACGACAGCTGTTACTTGTTGTTGACACATTCAACGCTGCTTTGAGTTGGTGCTGGTGCCGCCACCTGCTCCTCCTGGTAAGAGGCCTGTAGGCGTAATTGAAATCCCCGCCCGACTGAGTTGCGCTGCCGCAAGTGGGTTCTTAGCAAAAGCCAGCTGTAGGGCAGCGGCTTGTTGTTGAAGTGCTGCAGCTGTTAGGGCTTGCGCTTGAGCCTGAGCCTGCTGGACGGCTTGGGCCTGTGCCTGAGCTTGGGCTTGCGCCTGCGATTGTTGAACAGCAGCCGCTTGAGCCGCTTGCGCTTGTTGCGCTGCAGCTGCAGCTGCAGCAGCTGCCTGTGCCTGAGCTTGAGCCTGTTGAACGGCTTGAGCTTGCGCTTGAACCTGCGCTTGTTGAGCCTGCGCAGCCTGCGCTCCTACGGTAGGTGGCAATGGCGGAGTTCCACCAGCCAAACGTGAAAGGATGCCACGCTCACTCATTTGCAGGCGCTGAGCAACCGGTGGAATTCGTGCTAAGGTGGCAGGTAATCGGCTCACGTCACTTTTCATATCGGAAAGGAGCTCTTCGAGCTGATTGAGGACTTTGTGCAGCACGGCGTTAGCTGGCTTGTTGCCTGCTACAGACTCCTTCGACAGGTGCTGATGCGACTCGGCAAGACATTCGAGCTCAGCAAACCGAGCGTTTAGTGCCATGGCTGGATGTGCCGGGTCCTGCGTCAGGTTAAGGTAGGCAGCTCTGCGCAACTGCTCCTCAATAACGAGTGCTTGTTCCAATAGCTTGAAGCGGCGTGCCAAGAATTTGTTCTTGATATCTAGAAAGTTTCCTTTGCCTTGTTCGCTCTTGAAGGGCTCATTGATGATGGCAAATGCTAAATCATTCTGGATGTCTTGCCACCGGCCATAGCCGTGCTTGACGATACCAGCCAGAAGCCAATAGTCATGACGACGGTGCCAAATCTCAAACTCCTTGCCGGGACAAGCAGCCTCCTCGTTTTGCCAGAGCGTATGTAACTCGGTAAAGCCACCATCAGCTACGTTGAACATGAACTTCCTTTTAGAAATTGACTCAGAGGGTAACCCCAGCTTTGCTATTTTTTCTTCTGTTTCAGCGGTAGTTTCGGTCTCGGTCTTATCTTTTTCATTTTCTTTATTCTCAGAAGGCTTAGACTTGTCTTCTGCAGCCTTCTCATCTTTCGACTCCTCCTTGATAGCTTCGTCCTTTCCCTCAGCCTCTGTCTTTGCTTTTTCATCTTCTTTATCTTTAGTGTCCTTGGGATTTTCAGCAGGTTCTGGCTCTTTTTTAGTTTCGACATAGGCCTTCTCTGATTCCTTGGCATCTGATTTCTCTTCTTTTTTGGTCGCTTCTTGCTCATCGCCACCTAGATATGATAAAAAAGCTAAGTTATCAAGTCGTGTCTCAGAATATTCGTTTAAGAGTGTACTAAGAGTATTCCTGATGGAAACTTCAGGTTCTAGCGTAGAGCAAACGAAATCTCCTAAATAATTTAATAACTAAGATTTACTGGTGAGTATCTGTTTCTAGCCCCTTTCAGCTCTACTAATGTTGCTCCTACTAATGCTGTAAATAGCAATTGAGGACAATACCATTGCTTCTTGTGTTTCTAAAACGACCTTCGCTATTAACATAAACATACCTGCTTCGGTGGGCTTCGCATCTTTCTCTGCGACAGCAGCACCAACAACGCCATCTTTAATGTCGCTAACTTCTTTGTCCTTGTCGGTTTTCGATTCAGGAGATCCGTCTGTTTTCTCTTTCTGTTCTTCATCTTTAGTTTCTTTGGCTTTTGCCTCTGCCTCCTCATCCTCTTTCTTCTTGGCCTTATTCAGGCCAAGCTCTTCCGATGTCATGCTTGCTACACCATTAATATGCTCAAATTCCTGCACCTTTTTGCGTATCAGCGACATAACTCCTATACGTGTAAGAACATGTTGTCGACTAAGACCTTCGCGAGGAACGCCGTCAGCAAATGTTTCTGAATTATCAGCACCCGGCTCGCAAAGATGACGCATAAATAATGAGACATACGCTTTGAAATTCTTTTCCGATTTTCCACGGAGGTCTCGCACTAGCCACTGGGAGTTGAAAGCGTCTTGTGGAGGCATACCGTATCGCATGATAGCATTAAGGAATGCTCGCCGCTGGCGGGCATTGAAGCCCAAAACCTGCAACGCACCCAGCAGAGATGAATTAACAAATGAAACCAGTACTATCGGCTCGAACAAGTGTCTTGTATGCAAATTCCTTGCATAAAAATACACTACGAATAACTTTCCGGCTGAAGTAGCAAATCTGTCTGTACAGCGTACAAAAAATATGTAGCTCAATATCGTTGTACAAAAGTTATGCAGCTGTAATAAAAAGTGTTACTGAATATTTCGTGATTTCTTTACTTTTTGAAAATGACGCATATCGTGAGACGTTAACGACGTGTCCACATTGCGTTACTGTAATATTAAACAAATTGCCTACCTCAATATTGCCGTTAACCTTGGCGAGTAGCGGTGGAAGCGGACGATCCTTTTCGCTTTTACGGCTCCGGCGCAATTTGTCCATATTTCCACCTTCCTTATCATCAAAGTCATCATCGTCGCCATCGGACGGCATGCTGAAATCAGAATTATAGTCAGACACCGGCTCATTCCAGTTGTCGTCAAGTTGGCGTCCTCTTGTTGAACCGCCCTGTTCCGTATCGTTGTAGTTCACTTGGCGACGTACGCGCTTCCCCTTGCCTAGCTGGCCCGAAATAATTTCCTGTTGTTGCTCATAGTGATGACGCAGAAGCTTCTCCCAGTACGCGGGATCAGCACTCTCCACCTCTTCCTTGATAATCTCGGTTTCGGGCTCCTCCTCGGTGGCGTCCTTCTTTACATAAGCCGCCACCTTGAACGAGTCAAGGTACTCATTAGCAGCCATTTCCTTCTCTTCAATGCCTTCCTTGGTACGATCAAGAAGCTGGACGATGGCTTTGTCATCGTAGTGAATAGCATTGTCTTCGCCATCTTCATCCTTGAACAGTTCTTCCGTTCCGAAGCGCAGAATATCGTCCAGCTCCTGTTTTGACATGGCAGCATTACCCTGTCGGCCCATTCCAGGACGTACAACAAGATGAGTCAACATCATTTTTTTCTTTGCTACTTGAGTGACTCTCTCCTCTACGGAAGCGCGCGTGACAAATCGATATATCATTACTTTGTTTGTTTGGCCAAGACGGTGAGCGCGCGAAAAAGCCTGAATATCGTTATGCGGATTCCAGTCACTATCGTAAATGATGACAGTGTCTGCTGTGGCGAGATTAATACCCAGACCTCCAGCTTTTGTTGATAACAAAAAGCAGAATTGTTCAGCATCAGGCTTATTGAAGCGATCAATAGCTTCCTGGCGCATTGTTCCTGTGATACCTCCGTCGATACGCTCATATTTGTAGCCCTCACCTTCAAGAAAGTCCTCCAGAAGATCAAGCATCTTGGTCATCTGTGAGAAAATCAGCACACGGTGGCCCTGCTGCTTAAGCAGTTTCATCATCTTCTGCATAACAATCATTTTACCGCATGATTTCACGAGACTGTTTACAGTAAATGCTCCGTTGGCTAAACGTTCGGCTTCAGTTTGCGCCGCCGGGAACAAGAAGGGATGGTTACAACACTTCTTAAGATCCATCATAATATTTAGAAGCGACACAGATTGGCCCCCTCCTTTAATAGAAAGCGCATCGTAGTTACGCGTCAAGATCCACTTGTAATACTTCTTTTGTATGGGGCTGAGCTCGACGCGGACAATGAATTCGCTTTTGGAGGGCATGCCCGTTAGGACGTCGGCCTTGAGTCGCCTCAGGAGGTGGCAGCCCAGCAGGTCATGCAGTTTCTTCACCTGCTCCTCCTTAGCGATGTCCGCGAACTCGTTCAGGAACCCCTAAAAAACAACGATATTGTATTAGATAACCTGTAAATAAAAATTAGAAGAATAAGCAGCAATTTGCTGGCAGTTGAGTAACTATAAGGAACGCATAGGAGCAAAATACCTAGAGTAACGTTCGGCTTGTCGCAAATGAGTTTAAATAAAACGATCACATACAGCGATTATATCTGAGTAAAATAAATATTGAAACACTTACTTGTAAATCATTGAAGTTCGCCGGGGAGAGGAAGTTCATGAGGTGGAACAGCTCTTCCAGATTATTTTGCAGTGGTGTTCCTGTGAGTAAAAGCTTGTACCGAATCGGATATTGACTAAGCACCTTGAAGAACTTAGACTGATTTGATTTCAGGCGATGAGCTTCGTCTACTACTAGAACGTGCCAGTCGATACTGCCAAGCAATGCCTGGTCCATAGAGATGAGTTCATAAGATGTGAGAAGAGCGTGAAATTTTATAGGTGCGTCTTTTTTCATCTTAAAAACCTTGTTCGAACTGCGGACAGCTTTTTCTTCGAACGAAAATTCGTTCTCACGAATAACGGCACGTGAATCTTTATCGCCCACGTACGTCACGACGTACATTTCTGGTGCCCATAATTCAAACTCGCGTTCCCAGTTGATCAGTGTAGAAAGCGGCACAGCAACGAGGAATGGCCCACGTGAGTGGCCTTCTTTATAAAGCGAGTAGAGAAATGTGATAGTTTGGATGGTCTTTCCGAGACCCATTTCATCGGCGAGAATTGTGTCAGTACGTTGGCCCCATGAAAAGCGAAGCCAGTTAATGCCCTCCAGCTGGTACGGATGCAGTTGATTGCCGTTTTCTACTACGTACGGCGGTTGACCTTCATATTTCTTTTTGGGATCGTTAAGAGGCTTCTCAAATGGTGGCACAGAGTACCGACCAAACGCCTCTGTCTTTTTCTTGCTTTTGGATGGTTTGCTTCCAGGTTTCTTATTACAAACATTCTCTGTATGTTCCATGAGGGCTCGGAAATCCCAGTACTCCTGGACAAACTTCTTCATATCCGTAATCTCAAACTCCCCGCCATTATCTTCTACTTCCCAAGTGCAAGCTGAGTAGTCTAGCTCACGCCACTTTATTAAGTATACATTTTGTCCGGCGCGGTATGTGCGATGATTAATTACCTAAAAAAAAGAGACCTTAATTTTTAATAAAATTGCTATTGCATCAATTGTTCACTAAAATATTTTATGGGTGATGGATGCACTTTTATTAAATCAATCTTATTAAATTAAGCTGAAATGTCTATCTTACCCTACTTATTTCCAACCACTCGGGTTTGATTCCGTAACGATAATACTTTTCCTCCAGTTCAGCGTAGTGTTTATCTCGTTTGGCCAAAGACGATTTATGGTTAGGGAGATCTTCGGCTTGCGGGGGCTCATCCATGTCATTTTTTCGAGAGTAGTTCCGCAACAATGACGGATGGAAAACGTCCAACTGCAATTCATTGGCCCAAGAACAATGCCAGTACGACATGTCGTGCCATTTGATAAAAAACAAACGATATTTTACAGGCTCACGCGGTTCTGGCTTCTTCTTTTCTTTGTCCTCTTCGCCCTCTTCCTTTTCTTTTTCATCTTTGTCGTCCTTCTCGTCTTCCTCGTCTTCCTCGTTTTCGTCTTCCACTTTCCACTCGGCCCATTTCCACGACAGAATGCGCTGAACGCGCCCTTTCAGGGGTTCGCACGCACATCTTGGGCAGGTCCATTTGCCCGCAGGCGCACGCGAAATCGGTGGGAACACACAGTCGAGATGGTATGAACCAGGACATTGATCACAATGTAGCAAATCTCCACCTTCCTTGCAAGAGCGACAATATTCCATATGTTCATCACCACCACCCTCCTTATTTTTGCTGCTGCTGCTGCTGCCACCTTTCGAGCGGGGCCCGGCAGCCTCCTGAGCATCGGGAGCTCCGCCCTCAGCCGATATCCCGTCGCCTTCACAGCGCGGGCAGCTCCAGCGTCCCTCAGGAGGCTCCTCGAGCTCCGGTTCGAGACACACAAGATGATAGGCACGTGGACACGTGTCACAGAGGATCACTTCACCACCCTGTTGACATACCTCACAGTAGTCCTGGTGATCGGTGTCATATGCGTCCTCGTTGTCCGATGATGCCTTCTTACCACTGCGTTTAGGTTTGGCGACGCTCGAGCTGGTGCTGGGTGCTTGCTTACCAGCTTTAGCAGGGGCGCTACGTCGAGCACCTCGCTTTGGCGCCGCTGCAGCGGCTTCCTCGAGGGCAGCCTCAAAATTTGCGTCGCTGTCGTCATCCTCCTGGACGTCTGCTTCCTCGTCCGACGACTGATTAGGCCGCCGACGCCCGGAGACGCGTTTTCCACCTATCTTGATCTTAATAGCAGGTACCTTTTCTTTCTTAGCGGCCTGCGCATTTTTCCGGCCTCGCTTTAACGGCTTATCATCGTCCTTTTCTTCTTTTGTCTGTTCCTGTTCTAGAAGCTCCGGCTTCGGATGACCTTTAGAAAACTCTGCCCACTTAGCCGACATCAACGCGATGATTTTAGCCATAGCAGCTTTTGGATTGGCCTTTTGAATCAATGGCCGAATTTTCATAGAATACACCTAAAATCGGTGATGTTACAAACCATTCAATTGCACATATTTAGTATATATGGATAGGTACGGTGTCCTAGCTCATTGAAATATAGCAACAATAACGCAACTGTAATTAAAAAGTTTTAAATCAATACATAATAAGTGTCTCAAGCGAATCTGGTAGATTTTGAAACTGAATAGCTTTTGAATCACGCACTGTTTACAGACGATTTTTGGCTGGTAGTACTTCAGTTTTCTTGTGAGTGATCATTAATTGCGTTTACCCCCGGAGGAATGAGTTACAAAGAGAAAACATCTTTTAGTGTCGAAAATCAACGCTCAGTGGTAAAGTTTTTGTTCCTTGAAAGCCACAGCGCTGTAGAAATTTATCAAAGATTGGCAAAAATATTAGGCAAAGGGGCCTTAGGCACAGTATGCAAATGATGCAAACATTTCAAAAACCGAAGTTGGAACGTCGAAGTCTAACAAGAAAGTGACCAGATGTGAACACGTGAAGGACAACAACGCATTGCCGCAATCTAGGAAGTTTTCATGAATGCAAAGTTCGAATTCTAAGAACTCCGCCGGTCAAAACTGGCATTTCACAAATAACGTGTCACAAAATTATAACCCAAATACTGAAAATCCGAAAGTGGATAAAGATCTGTCAGCCGGGAATTGATTCCAGGCTGGTTCGTTAAAAATGTGTGTAGTGTATGTAGACCCTTAATTAGTAAAAAAAGCGCCTCCGTGAGGCATAACAATTTAATCTCTGCCATTGGTCAAAAAAATACCAGGCGAGAGAATGGTGTCGTCCTGCGACGAAATCGAGTTGGATAACAGTGTCAACTAGTTCCAGACTTAAAGAGATGATAATACTTGCAATGGAGATCAAGAGCATCTAGTACCATGAAATACTCGCCGAAAATTGAACAATCAATGCCCCCGGCTAGCTTAAGTTCCTCAAGAACCGTAGGAACAGCAATCGAAAACACGCAATCAGGTTACTTGACGCCAATGCCAGACCGCATCTTATTTTTTCAAGTATTTCTTAAATTGAGCAAAGGAATATACAACGTTGACTTCAGCTCGCTTATTCCTATGCATGGGACTTGCCATGCCCTAAAAAGGGCAATCTTATATTTCGGTATCAACTTATTTCGAGAACCCGCAGATGGGGACGCGAATAACATGTATATAGCTGTCCAGAACCTATCAGAGCGCTGGGACAAGTGTGTAAAAAATAAAGGAGAACGCCTATACCACGTATTAAAGAAACCATCAAATTAACCTAATTAGTTCAAACATTATTAATTTCAAAATCTCTTGGATCCGCTTGTAACCGTATATATATATACATATATATATATATATACGGTTTTGGCGTATCATATCATATCGCGAGTCGTAGCGCTGCGTCTGGAGCTAAAATTTTTCCTTTACGATAGAAACAAAGCATTTTAGACAAAACTATCTTTGTTAAGAGACAGTCTTAGAAATAAAGCATGTTTTTGTTTAAACGGATATTTTCAACATTTTTCGCATGTGCCGAAAATGTCACTTGCGGCGGTCATGAAACATATCTAACATCGCCTGCGACCACAGCCTTAATTCGGGCCCTAATTGACTCACTAATCATTTTTAAAATATTCCTTCTTTACTCCACAATTGACTTAATAATAACTTACTAATAATAGCATGCACTAAGCGATATTGGTAGGTGTAGACTCATTAAAGTGTGACCTGCTGCATATAAAAGGTTTAACGGAATTAAATCTTTGGCCAATAGCAATTCGAAAGTCCTAATAATACAAGGACTCAAAACGGCTTAAAAATTGAAAAGGCGTAAAAATTTTAAGAGGCTGACGGTTAGAACTTCCGAGCTGTGCTAACCCACGAGGATTTAAAGCGCCTAATTTTGAATTGATATTCTTCTGGCCATTAGTTTCTGTATTAAAAACCTAAGTGGATTAAAGGTAACTTTTTGATACACTTTAGCTAACTGCAAGTAAATCGAGCTCTCTATGTTTAAATCCTTTTGAGGATCTTCCAAGAGTCGTGTGTGAAAGCATGCCCACTACGACAAACAGCCCGTCAAAGTTTTCTTCAACCTACACACACACATTCACATATATATATATATTTTTTTTTTCAAATTAGTTGGCTTTCATTTACCTTATATGACGTTAGCTCTTGATAATCTTCATCAGTATACTCAGTCATGGCATCAACCATTTGGAATTCTTCAAGAATTTCAGCTACCGATTTGGTATTTGATTCATTTTCTTCCTGTGCAACAGCGCTCTCACCGCGTCGTTTACTGTAACAAACAGAATGAAGTATTTATTTCAACATCAACGCATGGAAAGAAGAAAGAGATATGCAACAATATATAGTTTTCCCAACATTAATTTTTGTCTTGCTACAGTTATTTAGCACAAAATTGATCTAATAAATAAGGGACATGTTATTTGTTATTACTAATGACAGAGAGCGAATTTTCTTTGCTGCAGTTCTACGTATTCTGGGTGCGAAAATACGTGTCTTATATGCAGTCTATAATATTGTACCATATTAATATAAGTTTACCTGGGCTTAGCTGTGTATTCTTCGTCGCTTTGTTGTGCTGCATCGCTTTCGGCCTTACTGTTCTCATCATCGTCGCTGTTAGCTGCCGCGCGGCTACGACGTTTCTTTTTCTTTGCTTTTTTGTCTCTCTGAGCTGCCTTACGCTTTTTTGCCTTGCGACTTCCGCCCCGGCGCTGACCGGCCCCGGATTCTTCCTCTTCGCCAGCTTCATCGTAGTCAACATCGGCGTTGGCACCCCCTCCTTCAACTTCTTGCTCCTCTTCTGAACCCCCTGACAAATCGAAACAGAACTAAATTAAAAACTAAGCATCGCAGGCGATGGAAACTATAGTGATAAGACAGGCGTAACTTAAGCATTTATTCTAATAGATGTAAGTATTTCATATAGCATAGAAGTTATGTTTCAAATATGTAACCTTTGAGGCACTTTCTTCTTCCGAATCTACCGAAATAGATTTGCTCTAGCGTTGGACTATTCCGCCTCAGCAAGAAACTGAGCTATTTCGTCCAAAGATTGTACTTTCCTATACTATCTAGTAATTGCTTCCTCATTTTGCTCACTCAGTGGCACCCGGATACTGTAGATTTGATGTGAAGGCGTTATGAGAAAAATATCTGGTCTTCTCTCGACAGTAATTCTTCATGTAGTGGGTTGTTCAGTATCAAACGTGACAAATATTACCCTCATATTTCAAAATGACGCTACTCGGTAATAATGCGATATTCTATTATCCTTTTTCTGCATTCAAAATACGTTCGTATTTTTTTAAAATCAAAGACCATCCATTCGGATAATGTCACTACAATTTTATCCTGGCAAACTGCAATGTGCCACGGAAAACGCGAACGAATAGTTTACGAGGACAGGTTCTACTGTGGAACTACAGCCGTAGGCAGCTCGCTGTAAGATACTCTGTAAGGGATCTACTATTAAAAACACCGCGAGCTATTCGTTCGAAATATTCCAAGGCAGAAACTTTGAATTCGAACGTAAATTGCAGGGGGCAGCCATTTGCAAAGGTGAATCACGAAAAATCAAGAGTACAGTGAAAACCGACCCAACTCAAAGTGGACGGGTGTTAGCACTTACGTTTGACCCATGAAAAAATATCTCCTTTGAATTCACTTTGATCAATAAGGTAAACATATTTGGGTGTTACATGATTTGAGCGAAGATCAAAAACGCAGACTCGTAAAGATCCTTGCTTCTCTTTGCTCTCACATTATAACAGTGATCCATCCTCACACCGAATTGAAATTTGAACTGAAAAAATAGATTCTCTACGATAATCGCAGACGGTCACATCAATGAGAGGCATAATTTAACTGACGGGGCATCAACTTAAAACAGCTGTAATAGGTTGTAGTCCGGTTAATAATGATGTGCAAATTTTATCCGTAACTTGGTTAGTCCGGGTTTGTCAGCAATTGGAAAAGGAAGCGAAAAAACTAATTAGATGGGCAAAAATAGTCAACAAAGGTAAACCACCCCCTGATAACGGTCCATCTCACGCCAAAAGATTCACGGTGTTAAAACGCAGTAATTACAGCTAGATGCTCATTGTCATCCACTGTACTCACCAAACAATACGCTTACAGATTACCATTTTTTCCAAATTCTCAAGAACTTTCTAATATCGAAGTTATTATGATATCGAAATTGCTTTTTGGCAATTTATCGTATCTCATGCACCAGCGTAATAAGTCACCATCCAAAGGGCAGAAGATCACAGATAATAATGGCATACACTTCGACTGAAGAAAGGAACAAGGCTGCGAAAAGTTCGAAAAGTAAGAGTTCATTATGTTACGTTTTTATAAAGTCCGGTACCTAAACTGATGAGTTTCTTCTAACATTGTTTACCTATACATAAATAAAAAGGTGCATTTTTAAGTAGATACGTTCTAAAACGACGAGATTAACTTGTAGCAATTAGTACTGGTCTCGTCTAGATTTCAGCTCTACCTTTGATGGCGTTTTTAAAAAAGATATCAAATGTCGTAGGCTGTCAACTCCGTCAGTAATCGTAATGACGCCATAATTTATTCACGTACCCTAATTTGTTGTTAAATATCTAAGATTTTAATTCATTGTGAACAATGGCCATCTAGTTTGTTTCGAAAACAAATGCATAAGTCTAGGGTTTTTTAATATCATAGCCACAAAAAAACTATAAAAGGTGTTGTCAATGAGAAACAATTTCAAGAACATTATTTCTGAGTAGATTCAACAAGCGTCAAATAGTCGGCTAATGTTTAACAAGGCTACAACTTTTAATTGCTAAAATAAAAACCTTTTTCCAAACCGACAAAAAAAGTCATTATTTTTAACGAATTAGAGACCTCTGTGAACTGACTTTGGCCAGGCAGTATGATGATATGTACGTGAGTCAAACGTAACTGTAAATCGGTATTAAAAAGAAACATAAATATTGGCAACGCTCCCAGAAGGTTGCTCGGGAGCCGAAAGAATTAGGTTGGGCGTTTGTTGACCACATTAAAGGCTTCCGCTGCCGTGATTGCTTCTAGTATCATCTGTATCATTGTCAAAACCATGAGTATACCAGCTTGTCATGCGTGTGTCCTTCCACTGACACAAGCCCACTCATTCGCATTCGCGTCTCTCTCTCGTAGTCAGTTGGTTAATGGTTTTCAGTCACTCTTTTTCTAACTTTTCTTCGCCGTCGTTTTCCTCGGAGGCACTGTATCAGTTGCAGATAGCGCCGAGTCCATCGATGAAGACAGCGATAACGGCACACGATGATGTTGTTCTCGGCGCTGGTGATATAGTGAGTGTTGTTGTTGTTGTTAAACAGTGGGGCGACAGAAGACAGTTTATTGTTGCCGCTGCTGCTGCAGTGCTGCCGAGTGACGGCCGCGGGTTCGTTAACCCGCCACCGCTGCTTATAGGTGCTTCTGTTGCAGCAACAATTTTGTAGGCGCTATAAGTGTCAAGCCTATTTCGGCTGGCGTTTGCCAAGAGGTCAAAGTCGGCTAGACAATCATAATAAATTGGGCCTGTAGGCTTTAAATACCATTTCCATTACAGCAATATATGAATAAACAGAACTTTACTGGTCAACCTATCAACTTAAAGATGAAACAAATGAAAAACTTAATATGCACCTATCAACAATGTCGTTTTGAGTTTTCTATCTCCCTTGCCGCCTCCAGTTTTACCTCCTTGCCCTTTTCATTCTTCTACAAACCCACTAGTGATCTTGCTGCTGCTACCGCTGCTACCTTATAGAAGTAGCTACAAAGCAATTATTATGCGGTAGTTATATAGCGCAATATAGAAGTGCAAAACTAAAACATGATAGGCCTTTGTCGCTATCTCATTGCAGTGCCTACCGTAATCAAACAGCAGCAGCGAGCAGGACACAAGTAATATCATCTGTGCTGCGTGTGTACTGTGATGCAGTGCGACGCAGAGATGAAATTAGCAGATACATGAACATTCTAATCAAGAAACGACGTATTAAATTCATAGACATTTAAGTCTTCTATTAATTTCGTACAATGTTAGTATGTTTTTCTGCCGAGATTTCGCCCGTTGATCCACTAGCGCCATAATAATGCTCTCAGGACTATAAATACTATAGTTCTTGTATAACCCACCAAGTCATTACGCAATACAACTCTTTAAGAACGACATAGTGATAGACTTGGCTTTGCCTAATTAGACGGCTGTACGTACGTGAAAAGGTTCCTGTACTTTCACGAGACTTTACTAGACAGAGTTTATGTTGTGCCGGCTTATAAAGTAGACGTGAACTAATAGAGATATCTATTTTGAACGTTACAAAAGTATTTTTATGACAATTGTCCTCTAAAATGGATGTTGGGTGTACTAGCTGTAGTTTCGGAAGTTGCTATTTGCATTGAAGATTAGTGTCAAAAAAGCATTCAGAAAAGAAGCATCATAAATTACTGAAAACACAGTGATGAATGCCATAGTTTTAATATTATAGAAACGTTGGAATTATTGTAAAATGCGCAATATAAATTTTTGATACGTTTTACATGCTCGGAAGGGTGAGAAGGGGGTCATGGGGAACGAATGTCCATCCGTTTTTATATATACATATATAAGTAGATCACTACATATATACAATCATGTTGTTTAATAATAAAGATTGGTGTGAATATAAGCGAACGAATACATATGACGTTTATCTTTGCGTATTTCATTCATGCTTTGTAGCAGAATCTAGGGGCTGAGGATAGGCCGGCATCGCAAAATACAGGTAACGCTAACCTCTTTATAGCTTGTGTAATGATACTACCATAATTGATTAAAAAATTAGGAGGCATTTCGATTTAACTATAGCGAACGCGATCGGAAAAAATCTGTTAACTTATGTCCCTAATTCCTGCTAGAATTATAGCAGCAGCCTTAGTCTTGCAATAGGAACAAAAAGGCAGCGATGTAACCATAAAATCACAAAGAAACAGAGATTATCAGAAAAGTGAATGTATAGTATTGTACAGTACAATGTATTCGCATGTCTTAGTTTACTCTGTCGTCTATCGTCTCCTGTGGTTGTCGACTTGTGATGTCTACCGCTGAAACCCAATAGAGGCGCGTTCTTTTGCAATAGCTAAGCGAGCCTTTCAAAAAAATACACATCTTCCTTTTTAAGAAATTTACTGAAGCAGTATGCCAAGTTCATCTATAGCGAAAGTACAGAAAAAATCAGTATCAAAGAGCAACACAGAAGCTAGGCCTAACTCGAACCGAAAAGCGCCGCCGGTAGCGAAGAGTTCGCACCCGGAGAGTTTGGCTGATTGGCTGGTTGATCTGTAGGTCTATGTGTGGCTACGAACACTTATTGACACAGCTCCCTCCCCCCTCCCGCTACACAGGCGACGCCATCGGGTTTGTTCGGAGCGATTAGGTCTTGAAAAAATAATTGGTAAAACACGTATATCAGCTTCATCATTCCAATAAGTAACGTCTTACCGGTATTTGAACATGATACGGGTGCACATCTCTGTATGATATGATATGATGATATGCGTGTCTATGTGTGTGTGTGCACAGACGTGTGGTGTCCTGAAGGACTGGCTTAAGCCGGGTTGATGCCATGGCTGTCGGTACTACTGGGTGCGGAGTTTTTGTGTTGTCAGGGACTTTTGTATGGAAGGGAATGAACTTACCACTGAAGTTCTCCTCGTCGAGATCGGCCATACCGGCTTTTACCGAAGCCCGGTCAGGGCCCACGTTACGACAGTTCCTCTAGAGGCAACACCAAACAATAGCGGAGGTAACACGTTCCCTCAGCTCTTCTAAGTGCCACAAACTTCACCACTACTTGCCGCGGGATAACCACCGATCAAACGATGCTCACAGCAGCTCCGAGCTGCCGATGCTGCCGAGAAGCCGCCGAGTTGCGAGGGAGAGATGGCGGCTGCTTAAGGCTACTGTCGTATGTCTAGAACACTAACTCGTTTGTTCTGCCAAACAAACTTGCGACGGTGGCGAGACGCTCATCCGTTCAAATGAAACGCGGGAAAATCCATAGCAAAACTTGTTGGAACTCCTGCTTGCAACCTGTTGTACAACTCAATCACTAAATGTAGACTTTAATGAAAAAATATTATTTGATTAGATACACAAGCTGCAATCGATTCTGGATCGATTTTGTTAGTTTCAATGTTCCAGGCAAAGGAACAACTTATGTATGAGTTCAAAACTGCATTTGCCTTGCTCAACAACGTGCTGAGCCCTTAAGCTGAGATGGAGCTTAATGATTTCTCTCGCTGAATGGAATGATGGTTATTAGCTTGATGGATATCAAGAAAACTTCAGATTCCCTTAATGAAATATTCCATTGATTCGCTCTAAGAGCTACCCGGGATGCAACATTCTGAACTACAAGTGGGCATGCCGTGCAGAAGAAGTTTTAATGAGAGATGGGGCTATTGTAATACCGTGCCCGTTCGAATTTATAAATAAATAAGGATAAAAAAAATAAACGTTGTCTATCGGTGCATTCGACAAAAAGCGCAGAATAGAAATGACAAAAAGTCGTAGTAATAATCACTATAGCGTCCTCGAGAGTAACAAGTCACTTACCAAATTTTAAAGATTATAATCTAGAGGAATTTAACTTAACTCAAAAGAAATACAAGTGTCGAAAAACATAGTGAATTTCAATGTAAGAATGACTAAAATATGCTGGAAAATTCCTTCTGAAGAACATGCATCTAAGATCAAGGATGAAACAACAAATGTGGCATTAGACGAAAGTAGAATTAGAGTTACCACTTCGTAAATCTTCCACTGTGCATTAATGAACTAACATAATTTTACGTTAACACATTGACATATCAACAACTGATGATCGTTCCGGTTTTTATTTGCAGAGACGAATCAACGCTCCGAATTATTTTCTTAAACTTAGAAATTAATTTTTGTGACTATTTCGTAAAGAGGTCAGAGAGTTGTATCACTGTAAACTCATTCACAGATTTTTCAATCAACATAGAAAATTAATACAACATCTTTAACCAAATGTCATATTATATTATACATACATATTATATTTACAGTTATTAATCTTTGTTAAACTTGAAATTATTGAATAAAGATAAACTTCTCTTAAACAATACACATCATTAGCAAGAATTTCTACCGAGATTTGCAATTTCTTATACTCTGGATTGCTTACTAATCGCGGATTAATGATATATTTCGTTAAGGGATTTTAGAATAATCTCCATGACTATTTATTTCAACCCATATTTTAGCTCATAGCCATATTATTTTTGTGTAGGGAAAGGAGATTATGAGGTTTCATTCTGGGTTACCCGTTAGCATGTTATTAGACAAAGCGAATTTTTTTCTTTTTTTTTTCATTCATTCAATTTTCAATCAATCAATCAAAAAAATCAAAACAAAATCAAACAAAATTCAAAAACAAAAGTCAAAATGACATTGCGTTTTTTTTCTACCTTAGATTCACGGTATAAAATGTTGCCGAATCTCAGAATCTTTAGCCTATTAGCTTCGAATTATTGCAGCAAACCCAACATTTGCATTCAAAGCGACGCACTTTTCGAGGTCATTAACAAAAAAATTATCTAGGCAAACTCATTCACCGTAAACTTCAAAACAATGATTTTCGAGATGGTTAGGATTATAGAATTGACGACGACTATGCTGATTGTGAAGTTTCAAATGTAACAATACGAAGTTTGTATTTTCATTTTCTACAAAGCCGTTCATGCTACTGCTCATTGTAATGTAAAATCTACATCTCTAACTCAATGCTTATATACACTTTTGTGGTTGACAGAAATATATGATCATTTCAACAAGCAAAAAACTGCCTGTTTACATTTTTATAACATCACTATGTTACGTTTATAAGGTTATTTTTTAAGACAGACATTCTCTTGATTAAGATCCATTGCAGGGAAAAGTTCCTACTAATTTAGTAAACTACGGGAATGTAGAAATTTATGAGAAAAGTCTGCAGTACTCTGATGACGTTATTGATATATTTATGTTTTCATCAATTGTGAAATAGTCACAAAATAATATTTCCAATAGATGCAGTAATGTTACGTAGATTATGTACTTAGTTGTACATATTATGTACTTAGAGTACATATTATGTACTTATTTTAACGCATTAAATATTTGCTCACTGCAAACAGTTCACGTACAGATAGAATTAACAGTGGTTGTTTTGTTATTCGAAAATGTTCTCTTTATACTCATCACAAAAAATTATTATTTTTTTAGAATCTGAGATAACGGACTGAGTATTTCCGATCGACGCGATTCAAATTTGTTCTCTTGAAGATTAATGCTTTTTCATATTATTAGTTCAGACGCACATTGGTAGTACTGCAACCAGTACCGTTACCTTCAGAATAGTGGGATGATTTGTTTGGACAATGATCAAAAGAATTTCGAATACGTAATGGATATTGTTACACACATTTTGATCACAATGCTATAACATCAGTCAATGAATATCTTCTGAAAGAAACAACATTACCCAAACACCTTTAAGTCGCTTCTGCATTCTGCCCAAAGATGGAATATGCAGCGAATATGCGCTATCTCTCGACGGTATTCTGTATCTAGAATATATAACTAGTATAGCTCCACCTGATACTTGAGTTATTTCATTCTAGTAGTTTCTTTAATGGCTTTTCAGTGGTACAGCATCAACGTTTAAGGTCATGAAAGTGCAGGCATTCAAAAGTAAGGCTTTACTTTCCCGCCATTTCGTTATAAAGGACTACGCACTTTTTTGTAGTACGATAAAACCTCTGTCAATGGGTGGAAAAGCAGACAAAATAATTTATTCCGCAAAGACTAATTGTGTGTTACTAAGTGTTAATTATTACATTTTTACATAGCAACTGCGGCGCCTCAGCAGAGCGGGCAGGTTGCTGCACTGGTCGACCAAGTGTCTGAAGTTAATAGGCCTTTATTGTTTTGTACGAAAACGGCCGAAGTACTTACAAATGAGCTGCTTGCGCTTGCGGAACATATCGCTGTACGTATTCTTGTAAATAGAATACTTCCGTGTTTGGATATGTCCGGAAACATTGTAGAGACTACTTGTCTTGAGGTAAGCAGTTTTACACAGATAGTAGAGCGGCACAGGCCAACTTGTTCTTTGGGTTCTTCTCTTCTCAGGGAACGACCGTTTCTGTGGAGAAGGCAAATAGGACTAGTGTACCCTTCAGACTCTCCTATCTAGTAATATGAAGGAGCCTACTAAGTCGCTCTATTTATCAAAGAGTGCTATTTGAAGACATCTATGTTTTGCCCCATGTACTTAGTTTATACAGCTCAAAAGCGGATCTATACTAAACACTAACGATTTTATGCGAAGAAGCGATCATTCAGTATATTTATGGAAAAACGTTTATTTGAAAACGAACTATGGCTTAGTTTAAAAGAGATATTGCTTTAGACCTATTTAATAACAAGCTAGCTGTATCAACGGTCATGATAGAGTTGGTACAAGTGGCCTCACCGCTTGCATATTGACTCATACAAATTTTTACGAACAGTGCAAAAATACTGGGACTTTTAGAGAATTCACTTCCGAAATGACTGTTTTATGTTAGGGGCACATGTAGCGCGCTGTGGCCTGTGAACACATAGATAAGCATAAATATTTCGACGCTATTCTAGATAAAAACGTCTTGTGTTTTTGAAAAGGAGTGTCCGTCATGACGTTCGTATGTATGATCATGTAAGCTAAGAACTTTAAGAGGTACAGAGGCATAACACTTCTTGCATATATGAAAATAGTTTGGTTTAATCAAGTTAATGTTGTCATCATTTCTCTGTTATAGGACAAATCTAATTCAAAATCGAACTAATGTATCCTTCATTGGTTGGAAAACATTCGACCATTATAATAATTGACAATGCTCACTGACGTTACTAAGGTCTAAATGTCATCGTATAAAATTGCTATAACTTAGAGACAGATAGCATGATTGGAGATTTACGTATTGGTTGATACAAGCGTCATGGATTTATCCTGATTTATTCATGCTGTTCATAGGAATTGGAACTAAGATCTCACCGAACTGCGACGAAGTATCTCGACCTCAACCAGCCGCGGAGTGATGAGCGTTGGGCTCGCTTAATGACTGTTTGCCAAGAGGTCTTCTTTCTTCTTGTTAACAATCAGCACTCAACAGTAAGGTTACTTAATTTCCTCGCATCTTGACTTCGCTTTGTATTTTTGTTACAAATCGGCATGAAGTGCGCCTTAATTTCTGATATTGAAAATTATCGCCAGTGAAAGGGAGTACTAAATTTAAGTTTATATTTCCTAGGAGCCGATTTACGCGTTGTTATTTTCTTTAAAGTTACTTCGCATTACTTACACTTATGTATGCAACTCTATGAGTACGATATTTTCAGTGAATTTCTTATAACTCCGTGTTTTTAAGCAAGTTTTCTGTTATTGTTAATTCCAAACATAAAATATTTTTTCATACACATTCGGACACGAGTTTTATAGTCACATGTGGTGTTTAATAGACAATAGTAATCTGGATCTTTAGCATAGCCACGAATACGTAAAGACTTTACATCTCTTTTCTTTATTTTGTTGAGTTGATAGGTATCGATTTTCCGCAGATACAGCTCAGTATATAATCTTTGAGCTATTATTTTTTGTATTAAAAAAAAATTGGAAATTTCCGAGAAGTTTTTCTTGTGTTTTTGTGCCAGATGTAGTTCATTTATCACTTTTAAAAGAAACAATCCAATTTTAACAACATTAATTTGAATAATCTCGCTACTTTGAAATAATACTTTGAAGAGATAGCTTTCGCTATTGTATATGCTATATACATAGGTTCGACGCATCTTTTACCTGCACGAGAACATCTTTAGAGCTCAGGCTCACGTTGCGGATAGCCTAGAGGACCTCGGATGCCTCCTTAATTGCGCTCGAAGGGATCTCAATGTCCGGGCAACAGCAAAGGTGTGCCATTTCTCTCTTAATCTTGTGAAACAGTTTTCCTCCAATCTTCCAGGCTATACAGCCAATAAAGGAATAAAATATTCCATTCAACATATAATCCAATCAATTGAAGTTTATTAACACGTCGTAATAAAAAAGAAACACGCATTTCATATTGCGAAATTCCTAATACTAAGCGTAATAGATTTAGTATTCTTTTCAAATAGCTCAGATTGACGGTGTTTTATGAGGGTTTAGTATATTATCAGATGCGGTTCTTTACTTGCTTTAAAAACAATATAAACCAAGTTAAGTTGAACTATCAATAGCAAAAACGTCTAGCGGATGTTCCATTATACGGCGGATCCATGCACTATAGCAAAAACATCCGTTTGATAATAATTTTATGGGCTTTTCCTACAGAATGTCCTACGGTTGATTTTACTTCGTCCAGAAGACAGTGTAAAAGCAGATAGAAGAAAAAACGATCTGATTTGCTTTTCTGATTTATCATCACTGATCATTCATAACCCATCATGATCATAATGTCCAGCTCATAGGTTTTCTGCATGATCTTGTTTATTTATTATACATTATTATATTATATAAGCTCTTGTACGTAACCATTATAAAGTGAGAGAAACCTTTTTTATAAACACTTGTACATGTCAGCAGGGCTTGGTGTACGGTCATTTGGAGTGGCGAACGATTGAAGCAGATACCTGGTGCAATTGTTTTTCCACGCCTGTCACAATTCCTAGTGATATGCGTACCATCGCGGAGGTTAGTAAACAGTTGTTTGTTTATCCGCGTGGAAAAATTCTTCTTCTTTCGAGTCTAGGTTTTATAGAAATCAATAAACAATACAGACAGACAGTTTTTGTATTCTGAGTATGAGGCTAAAAGAAGAATCTTTATCAGCCAAAAGGAGTACCCTTTTGTTATAACTCCGATAACGTTTTACACATATTTTTGCTTTTCGAACACGTTCTAGGCTAGACCTTTTCTTCTTTCTAGATATTTTCTATTTTCATGTGTTGGCATTGTGATCTTCTTTTGCTGTCGCAGTGATATACATAGTGCTATAAAAAGGGGTCTTATACCGGGCCATAGAATAAGCAGAACCATCGAAAAAAAAACGTTGGAAAATAATTTAAAAAAATGTAAAAAAGCTATACAAAGAGCCATGGTGGCCTGCACAGAGCTCTGCTTGGGTCCTAGAATAAAAATACGGCCTTAAACAACAATATTTGTTTGAAACGCAGATGCGAAGCAACGCCAACACGGTTTTGATCGTAGAGAAGGATACGGTCTTCCAAAAGCTTTTAGATCAGAATGCCATTAAGTTCCTCGACCAGAATGGCTTGAAGACAATTCTAGTTACTGGGAAAGGTAAATTATATTGAATTATCTAGAATGGCCCGAGCTTTATAGCAAAGTTACTTTTAATCTTAATCTCGTTTCGTTATAATAAAGCAGCTAAATCGTTCACACCTTTAATGAAAATTTCCGTCGAGAAATTGATAGTTTTAATAAACACGTATCCTATCGACAACAGAACAAGGACATTATTTGGCCAATCGAGAAACATTTGCGTTTGAACTGCGACTCGGAAGTATGCAAGCGATTATGGGCTGTGTTTTACGAAAATCGGCTGTTTTAGTAGTAGTGAATCTGTGTATGTCTTCTGGAAAAGCTGAAAAAATAGAATTTGAAAAAATTTTGAAACGAAGGGTAAAACGACAAAATTGTTTTTTAAGTGTGCTCTTGTCCACTCACATAGGCAATATATTTCAGTAAGATCGGTACTTTTCAAAAATAGCAACTTGCTTGCCCGATGTAGCTGGTGCATTCTGAATTGCAAATTATATGCTTGGATTGTAGTCAAATAAATTATTTAGCGATAAAACAGTACGCTTGTTTTGAAAACACGCTTTCTTTTTTCAAAAAACACATGTTTTGTAAATGACGTTTTGCAAAGTTGGGATGCATTTTCAGCTTCTTTCAGTCTCGCTTTATGCATCTGATCGTGTATTTGACTTTGCTAAGCAAAATATGTGGATATGGTTTAACTGCAGGCGTTCCTGATTTCAGTACGAGGGAGATGCTGTGGGTCCTAAGGCACAAAGTAATACCTAATGCCAGGTGGGATTTAATGAGCTGAAACATAAATGATCATAGCAGTTCTGTGTATTGTTATTTGAATAGACGTAAAGGAAATTAAAATTATTATTATTATTATAACTATATAATTAATACATATTTAATATTGGGGTAGGTTTTACGCATTGACTGATGCTGATCCGTATGGCCTTGATATTGCTGGAATTTACGCCTTCGGTTCCTTGAGAAGCACACGCTTACGACTCGAGGTAGCTGGTCTCCGGTGGATAGGATTTCATCCAAGCGAAATCGCCGAGTATGTATTTATTCAAGTGCATGTATGCATTTCTCTCAATATGCTCTAGGTAAGTTGTCTTTAGCTCAAACAGGATGTTTTTCATTACTAGTGATGAGTGTGTCTTAACGATATTTATCCGTTAATCTTGTCGTAGATCTTTGTTCGTTACAGTTCGTTTGCCAATGATAGCATTTCAATAATGTGATCTGTAGCTTATTTCCACTGGTTATTGAGATATCCGCACTTAAATCACCTTAGGAGTCCATTCATGAGATATAAATTGCAATGCCATACTTGATAAACCCTATTTGTCCTGTGAAAAAAGGCGATCTTCTTCATGAGGATGGTGATATTTTTATGGATAAAAGTGCATATACATCAATACGTTAGGTAATGTGTATACACATACATTACCTAACATATTGATAAATTGCTTAAGCTACTACGTGACGATGATTTTATCATTCTAATCTTAAATATATTCAAATGGTTTTAAAAGCATATTTTTCTGGCATTTCCTTTCATATAAGGTTTAGATTGGATGACGCGCGGCGCTTACCGCTTTCCGATATGGACAATCGACGTCGAATTGCCCTTATGAACAGGCCTTGGATCAAAGGAAGGCCCCAATGGCGAAGTGAGGTAGGAATGAAAAACTCAATGCCTAACTTATTATATATATATATATATATATATATGTATATATTCCATAGACGAATACATAACATAAACGACTAAACAATGAACTCGTAGGTCAATATCTTATTCTTATAAAAATCAGCGGTGTATATAATGTATTAAACCTACGCTTTAAGACGATCTTTTTCTGTGTAGCGTTCTACACTACAAGTGTGATTAATAGATGCCCAGAATATATATTATATCAGTAAGAGCTGGACTTGAGCTTTCTTTGTTTGGCATAGCTTGAGGATATATAGACCGTATACGGAGATAGTATCTGTTCTTAAAATGCTCGCACAGTTTTCTCGGTAAAACAATATATTTTATTTATCAGCACGTTTATTTGTTAGTTGCAACAATTTAAATGCTTAGACAAACGTTAAGTATTAATAACTAAAATCCTGGCAGTAAAACAGTGGCAAAAAAGCTGTCATATGACTTCTATTTTAGGTGGACAAGCTTGGTGAGCTTCGATGCAAGGCTGAAATTGAGGCTCTGAATCAGTTTGGTGAATTTTTTCTCCTTAAAGACTACCTCCTCACCAAACTCCTTGCGGATCACTCAAGAAACTAACTGACATCAATCGTGTACCGACGTCAATGGTAACATCAATCGTTAGTTTACTGATACTGATTGCGATTGCAGAAATCACAATGCACCTAATATTACTGGTCAGGCAACCAAAAAATCTGGCCGAACTTAATTGATGTAGTGTGAACTCATCCACTGAGTAAAAGTTCCGCGTTATATTTTTGGTGTTCTAATGTGCTAAAACTTATAACGGAACGAATTCTATTATTTTTAGAAAACTCTCTAGGAACTTTGATAACTCTGTTCTTATATCATCAATTAATCTTAGTTATAATTTCAATTAAAAATATGTATGAAAAAAATTAAGATTTCAAATAAACATGCAAACAATTAGAGTCTATACAGTTTATTAGCCGTCCTTGATAAATATACTCTTAAGAATAAAAAACAGAGACAAGCGGATATTTTTTTTTATATATATTAAGTAACTGCCGCTCATCAAGTATTATAATGCTATCGTTATGATATTATGGTCTTTATCTTGCCATAGGTATCCGCAAGAAGCATATGTTTGTATATATGCATACAAATGCACATGTTTCCCAAATATATATTGCTTGTCTAAGACACTTGTATTACTGCGTGTAATTACCATTATTCAGTACCATAAATTACTATCTCGGTTTTTCTACGAACAAAGTAAATTTATTAATATGTAATTTTCATTATAACATCTCACGCCTTCTTTTGCTTTTGAGTGTTGGTTTTCGCAACTAAAATGTTTTTGATCTTGTTAATGGATGCAACTGACCTAATATTTTATGGTGGGTCGAAGCTAAATAATCATTGCTATGAGCTTTCATTCTATGGTAACCTTTCATAATAATAAACATTACACTGTACGCCTTATTTATTCAAGTGTAAAGTCTCAGCATTGATTTATTAAATTTAGATGCATGTTACTCAATTAATAAAAAGAATAAAATTTACATATAATACTTAAGCAATGACAAAGTGCTATGGTAAGGTTATCCAGTGTAGCTTTTGAAGGCTCTTCTGTATAACTGATTCCTTTGGCTCGTATCCTACACTGATAAAATCACACAGATTCATCAATGTCAACTGTATTTACGTCAGTCTATTACCGACTGACGCTCCTGGCCACCTCTAATTTGTGTCAGTTATCTATGAGCGGAGTTAGCCCACGCGCTCGCAACATTGGTTAGCTTCATCCCATTAGAAATCATTAGAAATGACTGAACGGTATTCAGCTGTCCATACCTTCGGCTTTTTGTAACATTCGTGCGAAACGCTTTGTAATTGCAAGCGACGTATCTATAAAACGTTCTACACAATTTGATATGCAGGTCTCGGTGCGACCATCGAGACGGCTTGAGGGCTTCTCAACACATTTATCCCAGCATGTTTCCGTTAACCGGTGAACCTGTTATTTATGCACACATTAAAGGTAAGCAAATGCAGCCAATAAAATCTCGCACATTTATCTATTGACAGCAATACATAATAGTTTTTAATTTGTAGAACTGTTCATTTTTCTGTACAGAAATCAGTTCGTCTTGTAATCATAAATGGTTGTGCGTAAAAAATACATACATGTACATGAAATCAAACTTAGAAGATACTAACGCAATGGTCCAGCTTTAGAGTCATGAAACTTTTTTTAAAAAAAATGTATGTAAGCGTTACTGGCCGATAAAATATCTTTCATACGATTTGCTTTAAACTTGGAATTATAACCAACTATTCAATTCGTGAATTCTTCACAAAATTAATTTAGCAGATAGTCCGAATCGAATTATATATATATATATATATAGTTCAGCGAAAAGATTCTAATTTAAATATTTGCACTACCGTCTGTCTGTTAAAGCTTTTAAAAAATACTCTTACATATTTAGCATGGGAATTTAGTCTATTTATTCATATAAACCCTATAATAAGACGGTAAACGAACATGTATTGTCTAAGCGTTGCAACAAGCGGGTCTGGACCTTGCTTATTATGGAGTCAAACGATCTTTAATTAACAAGCAAAAGTCAGCCAGGATTCCAACCTTAACTATTTCGTTTAATAAAGTATTAAATGTATGCATTTGTATTCTTTATTGGTAAGCTAATATTAATAGACATCATTTAGACTTATGAAACAGGCATGTGCGCACATGTAAACCGCGCACCGTGGACTGAACTAGAAAAGTCGGCCATCTGGTGTAATGTAATTCAATTATCTGTTACACACCTGCATTTGAAATTGAGCTCTTTGTTGTTCAACCATCAGCTGCTCCTGCAAGTCCTTGTCTAAGGAGCGATTATCATTGTCGTGGTCTCCCAAAACCATCTTAAGTGTTTACTTCTGACTTGAAACTTAATGGATCGTTGAAGTTTTAGTACCACTAACTCGCGCAAACTATTGTGGAGCTGAGATAAAGGTCGCCTTTCGTAAGCACTCTGTGGTTTTGATGCTTATCGTCTGCCCGGTCTTCCTGTGATGTTGTTTTTATTTATTTCTTAGAAAAGCGAACAGTTGAACTGGAGACAAACGAATGAACGAATGAAGAGAGCGAATCAAAATCATTTTGGTTTTTCAGAATCCACATGAAAATTTACGCTCGATGTCGGTCTTTGCTAAACCAATTTACTCACCTTGAAAGAGATAATAAAAGGTTTAGGTTGGATAATGAAGAGGAGACGCATTGCATTTTTTCATCCCTTAACAATGATGCATCCAAATAATCTTATAATACTATTTTACTAAGATCGCAATACTACTTTAGATATGACATTAGCAAGAACACAGTACAGTAATCGATTTATGATTATATTAAAACTCACGATGAAAATAGTAAACACAATCAATTAATAATAATGAGTGTTAAAATAATAAAATTGTTAATCCATGCTTTACTCTATCGATATACAGAACAAATATATCCCGTGATCTTGTGCATATAATAGTTTATTTTTTTAGTAATGGGAGAAAATACCTGGAACGTCTTTTTATTGAAAATTAAATCAGCTAGTAGTGTTACTTCTGCACTGAAGAAATATGCACATGATCGGGTTCTTATATACCGAAACGGAGCGTAATGCTTAAATTTTCTTCTTCAAATTTTCCTCGAAAATGCAACCAATTATTTTTGTTTTACAATTACGAACCGAGTAAAGGTACATAAGTAAACTTTTTTGCTTTACAACCATGACTTATGTTCTGTGCATCCACCTCTTGTAAAACGTTCGCAAAATTAGTTGATTTATTAAATTTGGAAATAACTCTGATTCCAATAATAAAAAAATATAATGTTAAGCGATAATGGTAGTTTACACCGTTTTCACCCGAAAGTCTCGTTCAAACATATCAAACAAAAACCAACAAACGTAAATTTTCGGACTACAGTGAGCTATAAATCTGAAAAATCAAAGAGCTTAGAACATAAGACCATAGAGGATACAAGAAGACGCAAAGAATAACTAGCAGCTTTAGCCTATACGGATGATCCTACCCGCGATGATGATATATTCTCAAAAGCATCTTCTAAATTCAGCATAAAGGTTCCACGATTCCTTTTAAATTACTTTTTGTGTATCTTTTTGAGGAGAACAAAATGCTATTCTTATCTTTGGTCTTGGGTACCAACTTCTTCACGTTCTTTCTTTGTTCAAACAAAGACAAACAAAGGATTGTCGTTTATTGCATGAACATATAAGTCTGATAATGGCCGTCATATGTAGTTTCAAGCAAATTGTGCTCAGAGCCTCGCTTTTGGGTTTTTGGAGGACACTTGTTTGCCATTTCCTCCTTATTTTGCATCAATATGTGTCTTCTTTATGTTGCTTGCTATGTAAACAGTTCTACCGTAGTTTAAACAAGCAAGCAGATTTAAAAAAGTTAAACTGTTACAGCAATAAATTATTTGCGGGTACCTACTTATATATATATAAGAAGGTGCCCGCATATCTTTGATATAAAACATAATTACAAATAAAAAAAAAAAGTCTTATTTTTTTTATGAAAAAAATGGAGCTCGCCTCTCCAGTCAGTGAATCGCCCGCTACTCAATCAAACACATCTATTCATTCATTCATTCATCCACAGCTCATGCTCAGAAACGATCTATGAAGAAGCCAGCGACAATTGAGTGGAGTAGACGCGAATCTCGTAAAGTATAGTGACGACAACCATGGTCGCCATTTTGGATTAAGCAGCAAATTAATTACCTCTAACTTGTTAAATGCTGTTATAATTTTGGTGAATTTTGTGAGAAATCGTTTCGACTTTCCTCGATTTGTACAAAAGCGTGCGCTTGTGCTATATTACGTAGCTTAAACTTCAACATTTCTACCCTAAATCCGACTTTCGTGGAGCTGCTTAGCTCAACTGCTGACGGCACCACCTATCTGGTGGACTATCTTGATGATCTAATATCTATGCGATCTGTTGTTGGCCGGAGAGAGCTATTGGGAGTTGACTACGGTGACTCGTAATCACACCGCAGCGACGAGGCTATTTTACTCGAGGCGATCGGGGTACTAATATTGTTGCTGCTGCTGCCACTGTGGAACAAATCAGTAGGTTTTGTGATCATTGTCTTTAGTTACGTATTCTGTGTTGTGCTCGTTGTAAAGTGCCATTGTTCGAATTCATCGTTATTCGTTCGGGTTATTCCAGAACCACATCGTCGTCGTTAGAGTGAAAACGTTTTGTTCGTTCGTTGGTTGTTCCCTCCGAAATGGCTGTAGCCACGGGCGCCAATAGTGGAAGTGGTCGGGCATCCGAAGCATCGCGTCTAGTTACAAACGCCAAGCGGCAGCGCATCCGAAATGTGGTACTCAATCTTGAGAATTGTATTCTTTCACACGATAGACTGTCCAATACGCCGTCCATGCAGGATGGACTGGATCCCGAACTTGAGGCGGATCTTCGTTTTGTTGGGTGTGAGATGATCCAGAGCGCTGGTATCTTGTTACGCTTGCCGCAAGTTGCTATGGCAACAGGACAGGTACTCTATCAGCGATTCTACTATAGCAAAAGCTTCGTTGCACACAATTTTGAGGTGAGTCCTGCAATAGGCATACGTAAAATACGTTCAAAAGCTTCTCGTCTTTACAACGAATATAATTTTTAAGAACTCAACCAAGTAATTAAATTAACGAGCGTAATTTTCCTATAACCAATGCGGAATGCATATAATAGAAAACTATGAGTCTGTTTAATTTAGTTAACGAGGTGTGGAATATTTCGCTGAAAAGAGACACGTGAATTTATGGTATGTTTTAGAACGTGATTAGTTATAGTTTCATGCGGAATTCGTTTAATTTCAAATATTTTGCTGTCTGCATTATTTGTATTAAGAGATTGAGTTTAATTGAGTGCAAAGCCGAGCTTCTGAAGTGGTAACAGCACATTACTTATTTTCGGCATTCAGTTTTAGCTGGCTTCTTCTGTGTTGCCCGGTTACTAAAAATGACAAAGTTTATTATTTAACCTGCGTATTGACCAGACGGAAAGAGGTATTCCGTAGTTCACAGTAAGACCAGCTTACAAGTAACAAGTTATGAATCCTAAGTTTTCAAAAAAAAGTAAGGGGTGAAATTCAAAATATTGTAAAACTTTATTTTTGGAATTTGCAGTAGTAGCTTAGATTAGCAGCTATACGTCTAAGCTCATCAGATATTAATGAATGATTCGTCGCTCCTTCTATAAACGTTGCTAGTACGTGCTTTAAGGTTTAGAGCTGTATTTTGATAATAGTATTATCAAAAAAACGCATTATGACATCATATTTTTTTTTATAGAAGAGTAAATAGATAAGAAAAAAGAGTAGATAAAAAAGTTACTCTGTAGATTCGTTATATAGGTATTGTTTTTGGTCCACCTAAGAGAAAATAAGATGAATTTCGAAATTTTATACATTATTTTCTATGAAGACAATATTCCCATAGGCGACATTTATTGATATTTCGTCTAAGCAGAACTTTTGTCTCCCGTGTAGATTGTCGCCATGGCGTGCGTAGTTTTAGCGTCAAAAATTGAAGAAGCTCCTCGGCGAGTGCGGGATGTACTCAATGCGTTTCATCACCTCGAGCAATTGAGGAGAAAACAAGCTCCTGAGCCACTGTTACTTGATCATGCTTATATGGGGCTAAAGAATCAGGTGATCAAAGCCGAACGACGGGTTCTCAAGGAGCTTGGCTTCTGTGTGCATGTCAAGCACCCACATAAGGTTCGTGTATATAAAACCAAATTTTAGCTTGCTCACTTCTACTAATAATTTAAATACAGATCTAGAAATCCCTTGTTTTTAATTTATTTAAGACTCATAATGACCGTTTTTGCGATTATTTGTAAGGATGATATCTTAATAAATAATATAAATAAATAAAATATGAAAAATTGTAAAAAAGACCAAATAGGTGACAGCAGGCAGATACAGGGTAGCAGGTGACATGAACACGTTTGTTTTTTATTTTGTTTCATTAATTAGTATAACTAGATGTAGAGTTTTTGTAAGTATGAGCACACAACGTTTAAATATTTATGTGAGAATGCTAAGTAGATTTGACATGTAGAATTTCAAATGCATTATGTCGTAACTTGCTTTCTTGATTTAACCTGTTGAGAAATTATTGAACGGTATACTACTTCTAAGTACTAAATCTTTTCCAGTGCGTTCTGCTGAACATCTTTGAGCTTCCGAGTAGTTCTCTTACCTGTACACAATAAATAACGAACGTCTTGCGTTTTTTGCTCATCTCGTTTTTTTGCCTCATTACAATGTTATGATCCTGTGCGTGCACGGGTCATGTGTGGTATGGATACTCATCTGGATGGACTTTAGATGATTGTAACTCTTCTCGAGGTGGTACTGCGTCAAGAAAGCAACGACCGTCTACTGCAGATAGCTTGGTAAGTAAACAATAACTTCAATCGGATTACCAAAATCTCACCCTCGCAATGATCTCCCTTATATGTATAAAGGAGTAAGTACTGTATCTGACGCCGGAACAAAATATGCTTCTCCTGGTTTCGTTTTGTGCGAACACCTGGCTGGCCCCCTATCACTTTTCTCATTTGTCTTAGAAAATTAAAAAAATAAAAAGAAAAAAAAACTCAGGAATAGTCCACAGCTGTTAGTTCTTCTCTGGCTACAGCTCGTTACGAAAAAACTTTTTTTGCAAAAATATGAGTGTGTTAAACTATAGAATTGTGATAGCTGCTAGGCCCGGCAAGTTTTTGCAGCAAAGCGGAAAGTGAGACGCTAAGTGTATGTTCCCAACTGTAGTAATAGCTGCTATGAGTCGAATCAAGTCGAACGAATTGAGTTCTGCTTGATAGCTGATGACGATAATGAAGAGGATCCGTCCTCGTCGACGAAATCACTTTAGGAAATTAACCTTCAAGCAACTGAGCGCCCTTCAGTCCTCTCTCGCTTACAAGACACACACACCCAAATACACAGAAAGAAACGTACACGTTAATGTCCATACAGGCGACAAACATTGATTAGACAACCAATCATGATAGCTGGATGTTCTTTCTGGCTCTAGATAGTGGGTGCTATCGAAACAGTGAAATGACGTTTATTCTTTTCTCAGCGGAGGATGAGCGTCGAGGACGAGTGGACCTCACCTCGGAGGCTCGAGCTCGGAGGTGAGTCTCGAACCGCCCTGCCACCGCCCCCCCCCGCCCCGTTCTGTCGGAGAACCCGGCGACGGAGGCGAGTCGAGACGGTAGGCGGATTAACAGCTCACAACAACCACAACAACCGAACGAACAACATTCGGCGGTTAACTCCTTCCCCTATCGCATCTCATGGAGAGCGACAACAGGGCGCCGGCTGTGTATGATGATGATGCTACATATACTTCGCCGATCTTCCTCGGTCGATCAGGCGCAACCGGTCCCAACGGCAACACCCGAAAACCGAAAGCCCCCCGCTGCTGCTGCTGCTGCTGCTGCTGCCGCCGCCGCCGCCGCCGCTGCTGCTGCTGCTGCTGCTTTGGTTTGTATGTTCCTGCTGTTCCTGTAATGCCTGCCTCTGCTGCAAGTTTTGTTACTGCTAACCATTTCTCCTTAATCGATCGATCGATCAGTCACCCTCTCACTTGGTAAGGCGCCCCTCAGATGAGTTTTGCCAAAACTGCCCATGCTGCCAATCAATATGTCGATCTTAATTAAATGTCAAATGCACCTTTCATATTGTTGGGTATTATACAATGAATTGGCGAGATCCCGCAAAGCAAATTGGTAGACATAACCGCAAAAGATGATACTGCTATATGCAAATGCGCACGACGTATTCTTTTATATTTACAAATTTTCAATTAAGTATGGTCGATTTACCAATTATCGATCAGTAGATGGTTGTTATAGATGGTTGTTATTAATGACCTCTTAGATTTCGAGGCGCCTTCGAGAATCTTTCGTGAAGTGGGTTTTTAGAAGCTACAATTTTAGACGGAAGTGGTGACGATTAAAATGTAAATAGGAGAAAAGCACTCATGGCTATCTCTAGGCGGAATAACATATATGAGGTCACTTGCCTTTGGGAACATTCTTTTTATTGCTTAAAGGAATCATGAATTGAGTAAGACGCGTGAATGATCAGCTTTAGCTATTAGTAATATTATATAGTAACAGTATTACTCAATAACCGTACGATATTCTGGTAATTTCGCTTAAGTAAAGGCGACCTGAATATCTATTCGCGCGAACCCTGAATTCTTTCAGTAGTTTGTGGAATTCCGTTTCTTTACTTTATTCTGATAGATAGAATGATGGTAATTGACATTTGTGAATTTATGGTTTTACAATCCGCTTAAGTAAAATCGAGTCGTAATCTAACAACGCCGATACGAGGAAAGAAAAGTTTGGGACATCGACGAGATAAGCCACACAAATGAATGAATCAGTTTTTTCGAGTAACTGCCGAGTCCGGGTATCCGCGTTAATAATTCGTTAAAAAATGAGCCAATGAATACTTATACGAATGTAATACAAACGACTCGAGTACATTAATTAACGAATGGATGAATGAAACATGATATTTAGTAGAAATTCGGAGGCAGATAATGACCAGGTATTATTCACTTATTATTAAATATTTTAGGACTCCTGAACTTTATAGAGCGTTTTAATGAATGAAGGTTTTATTCAATTAGAATGCTGCACAACGACGACTGATGGTAGCCCTTAAATGATCGGTGATCAAGAAGTCCACTTATCTGTTATCATTTTCGCTGCGTAACTCAACCTTGCAGTTATTTCAGTCAAATGGATCAAGATAAAGGTAACACTACTGGCACAGATGTTACTGCAGCTGATGTCAATGCAAGATGTGAAGACTACAAACTAAATTTCTCGGAATATAGCCTTAAAAATCCACTGACGATTGGCACATTTTGTGAACCCACACAACTTTATACTTTACGTATCCAGGCCGTTCTTTGCGGTTGATGGGTCAATTCAATGTTTAATTGTATTACATGGACGTACACATGCGTCAACCAACTGCTTCCTCAAGTGGAAAAAGGGAGGGTTCCTATTTAATGGTCGTATTCCTATTCGTAAAAGCGATATGTAAGGTACATAGCGGCCACGATGGCGTTGAATGTGAACATAATTTATAATACAATGCAGCAGTAAAGTGCCTCAAGTGAGTCTTCAATCCGCACGATTACTGAAATGGTCGTAGATCACCATATGTTGACGCCGCCGTGTGGATTGCGATCTAGAATTGTTCGCCTCGACGTTGGTTCTGGCCACCGGCTATCGTAACTTTGGTCCCTGCGTTGTCGAGCTCATCACGAATGCTACGTTTCATTGAGCCATCTTCGACGGAATATGGGCGAGGGCGTTGCTGCGCCTGCAATCGTTTGAAAGTAATGATATTATGTTATTACGGCCATCAGGGCATGAATGTCGTTAAGCAAAATTATCATAGTTTCGTGTTACTTGTGCGCTTGACTTGTTTATCTTAGCCTGTGGTATATAGATTGTGCTTGCAGGAGGCGATGAAACTGACTGAGGACTGATGAAATGCAGAGACTTAACAAGTGGTTGGGAAGATGCATTACTGAATAGTAATACGATATTTTCGTGTAGCAGTAAATGAAAGCGGTCTGTGACAAATACCATCAGCGTTTGTCTCTGGTGAATAAACGGAGGTTTTACGCACGAAATTCTATAAATTAACATGCTACTCTACAGAAAAAGGACTTTCGGAAAGAGGTCTACGGAATGACAAAGTAATTATTGTATCACCCAAGTTTGAGACCGCTGCATAAGGCTTAGTAAAATGAGTCAATGAGAAGCATTACAGTTACATTAGATAACCTAGGTCTCTGAATGCCGTTTATGTTCGGTACACTTTACATGCATACCTATAGTCAAACGAGGACACTAAACTTTTGTCATCTTTGCTATGTTCTAGTACGTTATTACTACTAGTATGATTTTTCTAGGTAAATCTTAGGTGTGCCGCAAATGTGGTTTATTTTAAAAACAGACAAACTCTTGCTGGGTCTTTCTGCGATTGTGAAGTAGTTCTTGTTGATTCGATTCACATGGCACTATTCGTTCGTGTTATATAGGCCCTTATTTGGATTAACAAGAACATTTTATGTGACTACAGCTTTTGCTGTCCAGAAATTAACCGTATTATTTGATTCAGGTTCTTTAACATTGTTTGTAGACTTACTTTGTTGCGCGGCTTGGACTCTTTCCTGCAACAAAAAAAAATAGTCACCTATTTAGCAAGTTTAGCATCGAAGCATAGTTTAGATCTGTCTAACAATTAGTGGCAGCTATGTTTAGATTCTCCTGTTGTATTCCGTCGGCTTGTGTGTACAAGGTTTGAAGACGCCGTTAAAACATTATTTCTGCGTAAACGAAATTTCTAAGCTGATAGAAAGATCATATTTTGCGGGCTAAATATGGTATTTGTCAGTTTCCGTACAGTAAACCTTGGGTTCTTGCTTGCTTATTACAAGCCATACATTTGGGAAATGATGTAATTGAACTGCAACAACAGATTCATACTTGAGCTTGCTATTCTTTTTCGCAAAGTTAATAATACGTAGCGGATGCGACAATGCAGGCTAGCGCATAGTGCTGACTTAAATGACCGTGTGGGCAGTACCTATTCAGTTTTACTAATACTACTTCGATAGCTTAGCAGCAAGCTGCCAAGGTTGTGGTGAGGTGCAGCGCTCACGTTACGAAATATAAATTTTAACTGTAAAGATTTCCATTATTTTGTCACGGAAGCATTTCTCGAATGAAAAGGTTTTGATCGAAGATTTGAAAGAAGTACTGCAGGTTCACACCATTTGTGAGAGGTCCACCACAAGTATAGACAAACAGAAACGCGTTTTTGACGGTGTTAACAGTAAACGTATGTGGTGTTAGTGGTATATATAACTTCGACAAAACTAATTCACTTAGGTGCTGCAATAATTAATTTTCGATTATTTATTGGCGGCTTGGGGCTAGTGGCGTGAGAGGGCGACGTCAACGGTAAGGCAGAAGGAAGTAAAGTTCAGGCAGATGAGAAAGTAGCTATTCCGTTGTCAGGGGTCGTGGCAGCAGCCTTGGCAATTGTATTTACTAGCTATGGCGGCGGCAGCTTGGAGGGTAGTGCGTACCTAACCCACGCTATTTGGACAGCATCACACACATCGAGAATACGCAGTATTATTCATAGTCATATGTAATTACACTTATTAATGTGAATTGATTGAACACAGTTGATTTAACCGGTGCGTAGAAGTGAAGTGTTAAATTCAATTGGCTTCTCTTCTTAGTGTAATTTTCTGAGAGATCAGATGTCAAGGAATACGCAGGCTACGAAAGCCATGTAGGTTAGTATCTGGTTTTACGTTTACAAAGTCACTATTCGACAAAGCGATGACTGCGAGGGGATTGGTGGATAGATATGTGCGATTGGTACTGTTTAAGTTAAGAGATCAGAATTTTGTGGACTTTTAGTGCCAGCAGGCGCGACAACGTTTTCCTGATTTTCTGTCGTTTTCAGGAACTACATGAATGATAGTCTACGTTCGGATATTTTTGTGCGACACACGCCGGAAACAATCGCTTGTGGTTGTATCCACCTAGCAGCACGTCTCGTGCAAACGCCTTTGCCGAACTCTCCACAATGGTATCGACCTTTTGGCGTAACTGACTCGGATGTGGAAGACGTCTCAATCAGGATTTTATCGGTTTACCGTCGAGCAAAACAGGTAAAAAGAGCTGAAAAGAATAGGAATGAGAAGCCTACACACTAGATTATACAATTTTCGATCATACTACTACTATGGTCTACGTTAGGTCAGCTGATAATTTTAAGCAATCAGAAAGACCAAAATACTAGAGCGTAAAATGGATTATTTGCAAGCCGTTGTTGCGAAAATCAGTACGATCAGCAATCATAAAATATCGCTATACAACTGTTCCTGTCGCTTTTTGGTTTCACAGGTAGACGTTGACCGTCTGGATAAGACAGTTAAGGAGTTACGCGCTAAACAACAGGAAGAGAAGAAGGTATGTGGCCTTTTTACTTTTATACAGTGAATTTCAAATTTATATTTGTCGCATCAAGAGAGATTTGCCTCTTGTCCAATTCAATAAATGGATCGTTTTCTATGATATAGCTTTTGCTCGCGTTATAAAAAAAAATGTGTGGTTATTTTTCATGAAATTTCTGCAGCTCAAGCTCATAGTGGGAACGAAAGTAGTCATCCGGAGCAGCGGAGATTCGGAAGCCGTTGAAAACAGCAACTCGAACTCAAACATTCAAGGATCGTCATTAAAAACTCAATGGCTGCAAGGTACCGCTGGGGAAATTGTACCTATGAGCAATGGAACTAAACGAGAGCATCATATCACCGTCAGCAAAGATGACCACAAGGATGAGTTGCGTAACCATAATAATAGAAGCGAGATCAATTCACAGCAGCAGCAACGAACACAGCGAGACGTCGCCGGACGAGCTGGCTTTCAGGAGAGTCACGAACAAGATCGGGAACGCGAGAAAAGACGAAGTGATGAACGCCATTCGGGTGCCGGCGGCGATAAAGACGGTACCAACAACGATGACGATAGGCGGAGTGGAAGTGCCAAGAAATCGCACAAGAGGAAGTCTCGTGAAAGGTCACGCTCAAGAACAGTTAGTCCAGACAGACGGCGAAGAAATCGTGGCCGCCAAATCAGATCAAGAAGTAGATCACGAGAAAATGGACGTCGAAGAGATCGTCGCTAATAGCTCTTAACGATAATTGATTGACTACATGCATAAATACATGCATTCATTCGCTCATACACACATTTGAACATACATATATACTTCTGGTTCAACCCGTGTGTAGAGAGAGAGAGAAAGAGAGAGAGAGAGAAAGGGGAGTCTTACGAGTATCTGAGACGTTTGGGAAAATTTGAAACGTCATTGAATATAATAAAAGCATGTATGTGCTCGAGAGTTCGTGGAAACTGATGACGATACCATCTTGTACACAGTACTCGTGATTTCTCGTTGTATTCACTAGGGCTCAAAAAATGTATAGAAATGCGGTGAATCCCAAAAAAAAGGCATTGAAAGATGGAAAATCAATAGATGATATTATCTGCAATTGCCGGTATCCTCGTCATCCGGCCGTTCTCTAATAAACACTGACATACTCTGACACGAATACATCATGAAGGCGTCAGTACTGTACATATGTGAGAAAAGTTTAGCTGTGTATATATCTATTGCCTTGTTGAATAAATAAAAGAAAAAAACCTTTATCAAATGTTTTATATTTAATATTGTTGGTTGTGAAAGGTGGTTTGAGATCTTAAAGCTAATTCGTCCGAAAAGCCAATCTCAATCCTATGGGTTTTGTTAAAGGTAAATGAAAAAGAATCATTGGGTCATCATGAACAGTAGAGTACCCGCGATGATCTAATGAATAAATAATCAATTGACGCTTATGGGCGCGCGACTTACATCGATTGAGCTTTGTGGCAGCGTGTAAATTTTTTTAGGTACTTTCTAACTTCTTTCTTGCATAAACGTTCTTGGAATAGTGTTTATTACTAAAAAAAACAGCCATAGTTCTTTGTAATAGGTGCGATTAGAGAACATAATTTCACTAAGGGTAGATTTTGGTTTCGATATTTACTAAACAGGTGCGCTAACCCAGGTTAGCACACATGCGTTCCAAACGAACGGTAGGTTGGCAGCACCCTGGCTACCAAATTATGAAGAATGCTAGCATATGAGGTGGTGGTTAATTCAGCAGTTTTTCATGAAAGCTTTTTAAATGCAATGTCGCTTGCTCGGCCATCCCGGTCATCTATTTTTCACGATCTTACTCTGAAAGATAAACTAAGCTATTAACTATACGAATTTATCACCCAAATTTGGAAATATGTTAGGCGAAGAATGTTTTGTGTCTGAATGCTCTTACTTGAAAGATAGGTGCGGCTGTCGCGCATAGTTTATATACGATCCTGTGCAGCTATAGATTATACCATACAGCAGACTTTAATAAAAGCATAAATGCATTTTTAAGCAGGTGATAAACACTGCTTTTCTTGAAATCCAAAATCGGTAGAGGTATTTTCATCTCGTACTCCATAAGCCTAATGATTTGGAAGTGACTGACACATTATCATGATCGCACAGATACCCGAGCGCTTCAAAATAAAAGCAGTTTTTTGGCGAATTACACTACAAGCTTTGGGTGGTGTCTTCTTAGTGCAAGTTCCCGACTGGGTAACTTATGTATATGTAACCGAATAGAAAATATTGGTAAAGATTAATGCAGAATTCGTATATGTTTATCTATGTTGAGCTCACTATACTACTGCTCTGGTCGTGTTAATAATGTATTGTATGAGTCTGGACGTTGAATCAATACAGTGCTTTGGATCGTTATAGCTCTAGCGAAGAAAACCCAGTAGCATTTAAGCATCTACTAAAATTTAAAAAAATCATTTTCTTGCACTGATCAGCTTGCTCTGGGGTGTTTACGCTGGTGCTTGCATCTACGAGATTATTTTCTTTTAGCAGCAGGGTTTTGAATCAATCGTAATTGGCACAATGGTCAAACGGAGCGAGGTACATTTCCTTTACTTGGTTTGACGGGGCGCGGGACTCGCAGATCCTTAAAAGTTTCAAAAGCGACGTATTTAAAAATTTCTGTGTATGGCGCACACCAGAAGAAAGGAGAGAGTATTGGGTGTGTATTATGGCGAACGCCCCATCTACACGACAACACTAATTTAATACTTTACCTCTTTTATTAGATATAAAATATAAAATTAGCAATATAGCTAAGTGACTCAACCGTATTTATTAACAAGTTTGAGGTCAAGCTAATGGATACAGCCATAATGCAAATTCTGTGATGAATTCTATACCATTCACGTTGGAGAATAGAGTGTCAACTGATTTCAGTAGCCCTGGTCTATAAAAGAGTCGCTATGCTTTTAGTTCATAAAAATTCAAAATTTAAATCTTTTTAACATTGCTACATATTATTGATAGGCGAATAAGTATGTTGACCCAATATTAGACCGGAATTAAAGTCTTCAACAGGAACTGAAGTCTTCATTGTAACATAAGCTAACTGTTACTTGCCTCTATTTAATGTTCGATTCGCGACCTTCCTCAAATAGTTCGCTCTAGTTCTTTGTCGATTGAATCCCAATATTAATTAAACCTCAAATAAACAGCTTAAATATCTTTCGAATCATTTTTTAAACAAAAAATGTTTTGTTTATTATTGTATAAGCGTTCCAGTTCGTTTATGGTTGACCCGTACATAATAAGTAGTGCCTCAAACAGCCGATCATCAATTACTTTTCTTTATACCAAGACTACCATTGCTTTTTCAAAATAACAGCATGTATAAAAATAATCCAAGGACCTCTTGTACGTAAGTATTAGAAATTAAAGGGTAATTTTAGCGACGCGTTGTGGTTTAGCTTAAAATATGGGCATAGACACACTTTGTCTTGTGCTTCTGAACCGATCGTCCGATGGAATACCTAACGGCGATTCTTGACGTAAAACTCAATACATAGGGATTTTTGAGCAGATCCGTTTGTACATTTTAAAGCGACTTTTGGGAATGCTCACGTTCGAATTTTACCAAGATATATAGCTTTAGCTAGATCACCGAAAGCGCCAAAAAGATTCGAAAGTATGTACTTGGTGTGTACATAGTGAAATAGGAAATCTTGTTCCCAAGTCTTTTGGCTCGTAACTTCTTTGCATGTCGACCGTGGGCAATCTTGGCATTTCTCATTGTTTAAAGTTATAGGTATTTAGTTCGATTTAAAGATCACGTTTTTTGTGTTCACACGTCACTACAACAAGTTCCAGGTACTTTTTTTAGTTAAACATATAAATATAGGCAGCTGCTGGTAATTCAATTGATTGCGCTCTTCCTAAGTTTCTAAGTCTTAAAATTATTCCGAATGTTATAGGATGTGCCTACGTCGGCTAAGCCGATTTATCAGCTGGGCACTCAGCAGTAACTTTGGCTTCTTAAGTTAATCTAAGGTAAAATATATCTGGTGCCTTTCAGCATGGTATTGATTTAGCAGGATATTTTGGATGTGATTCGAGGGGTTAGCACTTGGCAAAAACATAACTTTTAGTCATAATAGATCTTAAATGGAATACTGCCAAGTATGATGTTCGTATTTCGCAGAATTTAATTTCCGGTTTTATTTGTTTAATTTATGGATTCCTGGTCGTTGATAATGATAAGAATCGAAAGACTTAAAAAGTGAGCATCAAGTCGTCACTTCCTCAAGCTCAACTGGCTGACACTCAAGCTTATTGAAAGTATTTGTCACATTTAGTCATAAGGCGGCAAACAAGCCAGAATAGGTTGCTTGAGATTACTATGAAACGACCCAAATTGTTTTCGTAACCCATAATTCACAGTTGAATTTTTTGCCGTCAGCATTTTGAAAAAAGTTAACAGATATTCAATTACACAAAAGCGTTGTGCAGTGTAAACCTTGTGAATACAGTGTGTGTATTCACAAGGCCTACATCGAACTGTCGTGTGAATACAGTATCTGAAAATTGGAACGCCCTTTGAAATATAACGAAAGGCGTATAACTTATAAAATAGAACAAACTACTATTACTATCTTCCTGATTTTTCAGGTACTCGTGGTCGTAACGTACATATATTTGTGTATTGTATCTTTATGAGCAAAAACGTTCGTCAAGCTTGTGTGCTAACATGCGGGAACCTGCTTACATGGCAAGCAAGTTATAGAGACTAAGTACCTAATATCAAGCATCGACTTCGAAAGCAAAAAAAAAGTTTGATCGCACAGCATTGTTTAACGCCATCTTCTTCTTCTTCACTCACCCATCACTACACCAGCAGTTGGAAGCTGTTCCATTATAATTCTGCTCTTTGAAAACGTTGTTACTTTTTGAATAGCCCGCCTCACGTTATATATGTAGATACTATCGCTCTTTTCCTCTCGAAACACTTGACGGCACGACATTTGACTGTCATTGGAACGTTTGACTAACTACAAATTCGCCCGATTTAACGGAGAATGACTTTAGTATATTCGATAAATCGGCGCACAGCAACGATCGAAAACGAAGGAAAATCAGATCTAGAACACCTTTTATTAAACACACGCTTGCTTGCAAAACCTGACGCCTGATTACGCTCATGACCCCGGAGAAGATTGAAGTCGCATGCATTGCCAGTATTCTGTTAAACGACAGCATGTAACTTGCGAAATCATTGAATCGAAGCAATTTTGAAGTTTTTACGTGTATACCGTAGTAGTGAAATCCCGCACTACGAAACACCGTAGTAGGAGGAGTCCCAATCCTAGCAAATAAGGAAAAGGAGTTTTGTTGTACAGGATCAATGCATGCTCAAAGACGATGCAATTCGGCCTAGTGTTACAGAGAAGCCGCGTGAGATGAAGTTGTTCCTATTTCCGTCCTATAAGTTGAGCACAAGACTTGAAACAAAAATTGACAAAACTCGTTGCTGACCTAAAAGCATCTGCGCAAGTTCATTATACAGCTATTCTTGTTAGAGATCTGAGCTAAAGTGGCATACACCGAAACGATGAGAGCTGTCGTCTTTGAGACAGCAAGAATGAGCTCAAAAATGGAAACTCATCAAATTCCCATCAAATGTTCCCACAGTTTTTTTTTCAAACAGAAACATGTATCTAAGTAAACTCGTTTTAAAAAACAATCAATAAATAATTTTGCATGTATGGCATATTTTGCAGTAGATGCTATGTATATCTCGTGCACGCGCAGGAGTTTTTGACTTGACTTACTGCGCGGTGTTTGGCGAAGCATGAGCCAGGTTGGTAACGAAGATACTTCATTTAGGTGGCGACCGATGGACAATCCAAGAGAAGGAGAGGCTACAGGTAAAAGCGAAGCAACGCGATTAGACGCTGATGTTCAGAATCTGAAGTCAGTGAATAACGGACTCACGAACTTGGCTAACACTGACCAGACACTATCGCTGACGCAAATCGAGGACATTATCGAGAGCGTCGAGGCTTCTTAAAAAGAATCGCATTCTGTTCACCGTATAAACGCAAAATTTTCTATAATAATATCTTGCGTACCCAGATATATATAATACAATGGGCGTACCACATGCCACTAACTCAGAATAATTTCCTCGTGATATTCTAGGAGAGAGTGAAATAAGTTTGAATCCTAAAGTCATGGCATGTATGTGTATTAAAAACGAGGTCCTCAAGTTGCCA